TGGAGGCTAAAGATAAATCTTGGTTTTTAAAGATTTCCTGTAGATATTGGATTTCCTTTTCCACTTCTGATATTATCTGCTGGATTTTATCACTTTGGTTTTTTATAGCAGTCAGGTGATGTTGTCTCATTTTGTTAATTTCAGATTTTTCTTTGTCGACAGTCGCATCAATTTCAATGTGCAAGGCTTCTCCATGTTTGGTGACAGCTATTTCCAGTGCGTCGTAATGTTTTTCTATATTGACGTTTTCATTTTTTATGTCTGATACAATTTCTCTGTATTTAGGATAGACTATGTTTTCAAGCTCCTTCAAGTCTTTTCCCAGAACTTTCGATTTTAAACTGAATATTTTTAGCGCATCAGATAATCTGTGTCGTTTATGTTTACCAGTTGAAATGCAGGTTGAACAAACAGGAATATCACATTTCTCGCAATAAAGTTCACAATGTCTTTTAACATGGTGTAAACATTTTGGGTATTTGGGCGTAGATCCTCGTTCTCTGAAAGGTACCACTTTATGCTCTATGGAAAAATCAGAAAGATGTTCATCTACACAGTTCTTGCAGAGATGAACATGACAAAAGTCACAGTGCAAAGAAGGGACAGGTGTATCACATAAAGCACAACGCATAACATCTTGAGCACAATATTTGGGATCCATTTCTGATTGGCAACAGAAACCGGTGATTCTGTCAAATGAAATTAATGTTTATTTAAGAAATCTGTTGAAAATACCAGGAGCATGGGCGCCGGAGCTGGAGAAGGGCTAAGCAAATATATACAATATATAGGCATTTAAAATTGGATGTTTCCTTTTTTGTTGGTTTAGCCCCCCCCCCCCCACCCCCACTTTCACTTAACAACCCCCCCCCCCTCTTTCTTGAAATTTGCTTCCGACCGTCATTGAAGATTAAATAACATAATAAAGGAATTAAAATAGCTCTATGTCAATTGAAATCATCTGCATGTCAAGAAAAACACATTTAGATGTCAATATGAAGAAATAGAGTTCCCCTAAAACTGAAGAGCTCATGCTTTTTCTCTAATATATTTTCGTTTGTACGTTTTATTTAGGAATTTCAGAATAACTTTAATTTTTAACATTTTTTCGCTGTGCATTCGATATAAATAAAGAAGTAAAGATTATGAAGAAAATAAAAAGGAATACATTTACCTACGTGTGGTTTCCGACTCGAAATATTAAATAAACCTTTTGTAACATGTGATTTAAATAAAGAAATAAAATGAAACTCTTCTCGTCTGTCGGTACTTTTTACCCTTTTGTAGTTTATGGAAAACCCAGAAAAAATACCTGCAATTATATAACAAAACTCGATCTCCCTTGACTTTCATATACATAAAATACTCCTTTTATTTACCCTACAGATCAGTGTTGTAAGGTTCATGTTACTAAGAAGTGTACATTTTTTGGCATAGCTGATAACAAATTCGAGTAGTGGACCATATACTAGTATATAATTCACCCTTTTGTGTTGTTGAGATGCATGAGCAAACATTGAATGCAGCGAATAAGAATGAAGAACTTCCTTGTGTACTGTACTTGACTGTGTCTGAATTGCAGAAATTCTCAGTTTATTTCCAAAGAACCAATGTCTGTATAAACCACAGCAATATTATACAATTATTGCTGGTTTTTGAGGTCAATACAATGATTTAGCCATCTGAGGAGTACAATAGCCCGAAGGGCGAGGTGAATATTGTACTTCGAAGATGGCTAAATCATTGTATTGACCGAAAAAAACAGCAATAATTGTTTTATTATATGATTCACTGATAAAATGATACAACTCATTACTTGTTTGCATTTTATTAAGTCCTAACCAAATACAAGAGAGTACAGAATTAAAGAATTAAACCTTACCATTCGTATCAATTTTATTTTTTTAAAATCAATTTTAGTAGCCATGAAAGAAATATACAATGTCAGTATTTTATAGGATAGATTTTAAAATGAAGAAGTATTATCAAGGAAAACTGACTACCAAAAGGTAAAAAAAACAGTTGTTGTTCAGTAAAAGTGTTGGCGGGGATGGTTTCCCTTACTACCCTCACCTAAAATATATATTCGCTTAGGTTTTTTTCACATGAAAATGAAAATCATAGATCATAGTCGTTTAAATAGCTTTCTAAAACAATTTAAATCAATTTGGAATTCCCCATTTATTTTTAGATCAATGTAGAGGAAATAAATCCTTGTATTGACCTGGAACGTCACGTGCAGGTCAATACAACGTAACATTTTTCTAACATAGTTGGATCTCAACCAATCAGAGAGATGGAAGTTATTCAATCATATAATAAATATATAATATTTTTTTTTATAGGATAGGTTTTGAAAGGAATTGGGTATTATCATGCAGGGAAATTTACTGCCAAAAAGTAAAAAAAAAGTTCAGTAAAAGTGTTCGGGGGGGGGGGGGGTTCCTGCATCCCCTCTTATATCACCCTCACCTAAAATATATATTCTCTTATGTTTTGTTCACATGAAAATAAAAATCGTAGTCGTTTAAATAGCTTTCTAAATTAATCTGTATCAATTTGGAATTTCCCAATCTATTTTTAGATCAATGTAGAGGAAATAATTCCTTGTATTGACCTGAAACGTCACGTGCAGGTAAATAGAACGTAATATTTTTCTAACATAGTTGGATCTCAGCCAATCAGAGAAATATTCAATCATATAATAAATTAATAATAAAACAATATACTTTTTTATGTGCATGCCTTCATGCGATGCTTGCAGTTTAAAAAGTACACATTCCACACCAATGCTATTCATGTTCTATCCTTAAGGATTGACCTAACTTGTCAAAACATTTCCCACATGTTTAAATTCCATGAAATTATTAAAATGCGATAGGTCAAATAAAACAATGTAGAAAACACAAGATATCAATGCCTTTTATGACCACTCCTTTGAACACAGTTTCTCAATTCCAAGTCAATCTCCAAGATCAAGGAATGAAAAATAGTGTTTCCCACAAAATGTTAGTCCCAATTACCTGTATTAAACCTGTGAAATATGCAAGTCCAAGGAATAACCAAAAAAAATTATAATCAAGGTTAATTTTTCAATGGGGTCAAATTCCAAGGACAAGATCAAAGGATCAAATTAAAGGTATCGAGGGAATGTCCTTGTCATAAGAAATACACATGTAAAAATATTAAAGCTCTTCAAAGTGGAATTCGAAGAATTCAAAGTCAAGATCAAAATTGTTGATATCCAAAGGAAGGGCTTGACACATGGAATACACTTGCGTAATATGAAGGCACCAAAATAAGTGGACTTTTGCAGAGGTGCTTGACTTCTACAATTTTATCTTTACATTCACCGGAAAATTCAACTAAGGGCGTTTAAAAAACCGAGAAAAAGAGCACTTTTACGCACATTAAATATACTCTTTTTATTCCAATTGGTAGCACTGTAGCTCTCTCATGTGTCTCTGGTCGTCCATCCTAATTTTTTTTTCAGACCGGTGCGGTGAGCTACAGATCAGCAGTAAATATACAGATATACAGAAGCTCTTTTATGATATAAATATTTAGTTTAACAGGCAATAAAAATGTTAAATCATGGGCAATGTTAGCCCGCATTCCCTTGTCTTTGTAGGGAACGGCAGCTATCCCCATCTAAACCCCATCTCTTTCCATCTTTAAACCAACTTTAAACGATTTTCCCTCCAGTGGGTTTTTTGTCATTATTCAATTTCTTAAAAAGAATATAAAAATAAAAGCTAGGAAATATCATGAAAAAGGTATTTCAAGCAATGCTACCCCCATGTAATCATTTCGTCTGTTTTGAAAAAATCTAATTGCTTCTCTAATAACACAATATTACTACAGTATATCACTATTTTAATTTTCAATATTTTCATATCTTTCATTTATTCTGTACCTAACACTAGTTTAAGTCTCAGTCAAAAACATTTATGTCATGGAAAGGTAATGTCACAATTACTACACATGTCGATGAGAAGTATGAATTTTTATATGGCCCCGATTTGTAAATATTTCGATGAAATCGGGTAAATTTTGTTCATGTGCATCAACCGGGACGGAAGTACCAAAGAACGATAACTCTATTTTACAAATGTTCTGCATTACAAAAAATAATTAAAAATATTATGACATTTGGTTAATTATATCGTGTGTTAAAAGTGAATCTGTATCTATCAGAATCTACTAGTTACAGCTTTCTAGTTATATATCGAACTAACTGTTACATATTACATGAAGAGAAAATTCGGGATTTAATTTCTCTCGAATTTAATGTTCCGAATAAGATTACACATTATGATGACGCCCGAAAATACCAAGTACTTCCGTCCCGGTTGATGCACATGAACAAAATTTACCCGATTTCATCGAAATATTTACAAATCGGGGGCATATAAAAATTAACTGGAAATATGAAAAGGAAGAGAAATGTATAACAAAATTATTAATGTATGCATATACCATGTTTTATACTGATTTAAATAAATAATCGAGCGAAGTTTAAGCGAGGTGAGGCGAATGACTAAAAAGTATGGCAAGCCCTTTTACTATTTATTCGTAAAATAAATTTTTCTTTCAAAATGAGAGATATCTCTCTAGCATAAAGAGATATCTCTTTAGCTTATGGAGATATCTCTTTAGCTTATAGAGATATCTCTTTGACTAATAGAGATATCTTAATACTTTAGAGAGATATCTCTTTCAACAAAAGAGATATCTCTTTTTGAAGAGAGATATCTCTTTTAGTAAGAGAGATATCTTTATAAGCTAGAGAGATATCTCTTTAAACGAGAGAGATATCTCTTAAAGTTAGAGAGATATCTCTTTAACAAGTTTAAAAGAGATATCTCTCTTAATCAGAGAGATATCTCTTTAGATTTTCAAAAAGAGATATCTTTCTAAGCTACAGAGATATCTCTTTTGATGAAAGAGATATCTCTTTTCCAATCACCCTTAAAATAAAATAAAATAACTAATTCTCCCGTTAAAAACGAAAGCGAAACAGGAAGTAATGTCTGTTAAGTCGTTCGTTTTCTGGTTATGGAAAAGAAGAGGATAAAATGGACTGATTGATACAGGTAAACAACGTTTAATTGCTTTATTGTTTTAAGCGAAAGTAGCAGGATTTCAAACCAAAACGTCCCCCAAAGATTGGTTCCATATTATATTTATTTCATTTATTTAGCTCACTGTCACAGGACAGCTGAGCCGGGGATATAGAATGCGAAGTCAATAAAAACAAATTCGAAATAGGCCTACATGCACCCAATTTCATCGATCACGGGAATACAGGATTGATTACTACGTCGATTAAACATAATCCTGATAGAATTAATGTTCTTTTTTAATTAATTAATACTCCAAAAATAAAAACGTCCAACATTACTTCTTTCATGTACTCAGGGATGTATATATTCAACTTCAATATTAACTGTAGGACGTTAAACGACATACATGTACGATCAATATATTAACTGTAAAGCCTTATGACCCCCTTCCCAAACACAGGCACCTGAAGTATGGATAATACCAACCCCCCTTTTTATTTTTTTTTTTTAAATTTAACAAAAAAAGGGGGGGGAGTATCATCCATACTTCAGGTGCCCGTGTTCCCAAATACTCTTACAATTATGAGAAAGACATTTTATTTTCTTAAAATATGCATTAGAAATAGGAATTTTCTTATTTGTCTTAGCTAGAACAATCCCCAATTTATCCAATGTTGTCACCAAACAGGTCTGCACTGGGTCCATAAGACATTCATCATTCAATGGTAGAACATTTTATTTACATTTGTCATATTTTACAGAGATCCAGGAGGTACTGAAAAAGGGACAATGCTTCGACTGAATGTGTCATCCATGTACCAGTGTAGACCTGTTAATGAGGCATATCCAATAATTCTTATACTCATGAAGAGTGCGGCAACTCCCAAGTAGTTAAGGATGGCAAGCATTTTAAATCAGGTACAGGATAATTTTTTGGGCTGCACTTTTCTTTACTTCAATATTTCAAACTTACTAGTTAAGTATCAAGTCCACAAAAGCTCAAACACCATGGTGAATCAATGGGCCATAATGATTGTTAAATTTGTCATAGGCTTTCTTATTAAATTATCAATTTGAAATTTGATTGGTAAAAAACATTTATTAACAAGTACAATTCTTCTACTGTGTGCCTGTCATCCCAACAATTGCAAATGCACATCGATAGGTTCTCCATGAAAATTGCTAACTGCGCAGAATGGTTGCACATTTTTTCAATGAACGACATTTTCTTAACATTGAATCCTTCAGTATAACAAGACAAATATTGCATGCTTATTTTAATACAATATAAATAAACTTAAGAACAAATTTAAGGATTGAAGTTTAATTTGTATATTTGGTAGTTACATGCGTAATTAGTTTTATATATAAAGGATGTACACAAGCATTTTATAACATTGAAAATATTCAAGAAAGTATTCTCTTAATTTCTTGTAGATCCTCACTTCTAGGATGTTTTCCATGTTCTTGTGAAAAGTGTTTTACATGGCACCATTCAGCTACAAATACTTTGCCGGTGGAACTGTGACATCAATCAACTGCTCATGCCACTGCTAATTGGCAGAATTTCCTTTGGGACAAACAAACTGTTTCAAATATTTAACACCTGCAAGTTAGTACTTATGAAATTTTGTTTGCACTGGAAGCTAAAAGATAATGAGTATTGAAAATACAAGCCAGATGAAGTACAAAAATGTTGATACAAGTCATTTAGAATTTTCAATTCTTTGCAGGTAGTGATGAGTGTACTGGAAGTTTTTTCGGGATCTTGTCCGACATCATAGGTACAACTGGTCACTGTGCTTTCTTGGTTATATAAGCAGGCATATTGTTAAAGCGGTGACACATGTAGCTTCAAATGATACTTGACTGTTTAAGTGTTTTTCTTTGATTTATAAGTAAACCTCGATTGATCTCTGATGCAGTAATATAGAGCCATGTCCATTCTTTAATATTCCATCATCCCACTGTCACAAAGTACTGAAATAAAAATGATTTTGATTTTAAAAATTTTTGGTTTTTATATGTAACATAAAATTCTACAGAAATTCAAATATTAAAACTACTTCAAAACAAGATGTGTTTGTGAAACACTATGCACCAGGCGGCAACAAATTCAAACAAGTTTTTTTAAGCATATAGGTCATAGTCAAGGTCACAAGGTCATTGGCCTTGGTGTCATTTGAAAGAACTTAATTAGTGGAGTATGCAAATCAAATATGAAGTCTCTATTTTTAACGGTACAAAAGGTATGGTGAAAGTTCAAAATGGTATTTATAGCATTAAAGTCACATTAAAGGTCAAAAGTTCACTGGCCTTGATGTCATTTGAAAGAGCATAATTAATGAAGAAGGCATTCCAAATATGATTTCTCTATCTTAAATGTATCAAAAGTTAAGGCGAAAGTTTTTAAAAAAGCTATTTTTAGCATATAGGTCACAGTCAAGGTCACAAGGTCATTGACCTTGGTGTCTTTTGAAAGAATTTAATTAGTGGAGTAGGCATATTAAATATGAAGTCTGTATCTCTCATGGTTCAAAAGTTATGGTGGAGGTTAAAGTTGACAAAAGACAAACAGACATAGAATCAGGATATAAACAATAGACAATAATTCACTTATTTTATGATTGTGTATATTAATGTGACTGAATTTTGGAATCAATTTGTACAAAGGTTTAGTGTCATTGAGAAAGATTACAAAATATCCAAAAGAACTGTTTTACTTGTTAATATAGAAGGAAGTTGTTTAGAAAATTTTCTTTTATTAATTGCAAAAAATTTTATTTACTATTCAAGATCACAAGATAGTAAACCATTATTTATTGATGCAGTAAAGTTATTCAAGTATTACAGAAACATAGAAAATTGTTGTGAAAAAGTTTTTCAATGTACATGATGTAAGGACAAAATACTCAGTAAATGGGTCCTGTATGATAATGTGTACAACAAGTGATGCAAAAATCAAAATTGTAATTTTTTATTAATTTATATCTACACATTTGGGTACATCTGTTTTGTTTTTGGATAAATTGTATGTTTAACTGTCATATGTTTACATATATGTACATTTATTATGCCCCCCCCCTTTGAAGAAAGGAGGGCATATTGCTTTGCTGCTGTCTGTCAGTCCATTTAGTTTCCATTCATTTTCTTCACAACCATTGCACTGAAATGAAATTTGGTATACAGCCTTACAGGTATATCAGATGAATGTCTAGGTCAAGTTCTGTTTTGGGTATGATCATCGCGCCATTTTTGACAGAGTTATACCCCTTGGCTTTAGAAAAATTCCAATTACTTGCAGTTTCTGTTCATTTCCTTTGCAGAGGTTGCACATAGTGAAATGCAATTTAGTATACAGATTTATCAGATGATCATGAATATCTAGGTCAAGTTCTCTTTTGGGTATCCTTGCACCATTTTTGACAGAGTAATGCCTTTTTGGACTTAGATAAAAAATTCCAATGTGGGGGGAGGGGGGCATAAGTATTTTACAAACATCTCATTATTTTTAATTTTAGAAAGTGCACTGTGTGAGTGTGTGCAATTGTGGTGGTGAGTGGGTGAAAATTGTCTTGTGTTTGTACAGTGTATATATGGATATGGAAAATGCTTCAAAATAAACCATTTAAAAACATTTTTTGGAAAGTATGGCAATCATATACCATGCAGTACTCAGAAATGCTAAATAAAAGGCTGCGTAGAAGAAAAAAAATAATTAAAACTACCAATCAAATAAGTATTAAATGTAAATCTTTTAAGATGAAGGTTTTGCTTTGTCAGATTCTTTGCTTATAGGGACACTTACCTTTAATAATGTCATGACAGGTGAGGCACATGGCTGGTCTTCATGCTGGATCAGTTCTTAGTTAAAACCATCCAGTATTGCCCCAAGATTGCCAGATGTACAGACAAAACCTGTAATTTAGCAAGCTTCTGTAATATTGAATTATTACATAGGCCATAGTTGTATGTGCAACTGATAATGATGTAGGACTAAGGTGCCTGACAAATAATGAGTTACCCGGTATAAATCTTACAAATATCCATTTATTTGATACAAATCTTAACTTTCTTCATTAAATTTTATTAATGATTTTACAAGAAAATCAGAATAAAAATTGTCCTTTTTATACATAAAAAATATTTTCATTTAAAATCTTTTTATTTAAAAATATTTGTTGCATTTTCATATTTAGGGTACCCTTCCTAGGCCAACAATAAAAAAATTGATTTGTTTGATGTACTCTGACCGACCTGTTAAAATAGCCCCTACCCATTTGCATTCATTTCTTGGGGGCACTTAAAATTTTTTAACACCCCCCTTAATTACCATAGATGTTTTAAAGATAAGGTATCATATTTTTTTTTAGGATGCTTTTTAATTTATAAATACAAAGTCTTTGTAACTAAATGAAAACATTAACAGATTTCTGAGTCTGTGGTTTGAAATATGACAGTTATCAATTTATTCAATGCTGTAAGACATAAGGAAAAAAACTAGAAATATGTCCACAGGACAGGAATGCCCGCCAAGGGTATATTAGTCATGCAAAATGAAAATTCGTATGAAATTTGATCAGAATATCTTGAAAAATGTTACAGTTGAATTGCTTACATCAGTATGTATCAGCATATGAAGTTTGACACTAATTTCAGAGATGAGGTCAAGGTCAAATAAAAGGTCAACGTCATGTTGATGCAGTTGAATTGCTTACATCAGAATGCATCACCATATGAAGTTTGACACTAACTTAGGAAAATTGAGGTCAAAGTCAAAAGAAAGGCCAAGGACAAAAAAATGTTTGTTTCAGTTGAAAAGCTCTCTGACATCAGTATGGTAAGTTTGATACAGTAAATCTCGTTTCGTACGAACACGAATATTGCGAATTCATGGGTATAGCGAAGTCATCTTGGATTCCCAGCTATAAAATTTCAATGAATTTCTTATACGATTATAATGAATTATGGATATAGCGAAGTAATTTCATAGGTCCCAGCAACTTTGTTATAACCAAGTTTTGCTGTAATACCATCTTGAATGGTATGTTTAAAACTAAGTTAAACACTAATTTAAGAAAAGTGAGGTCAAGGTCAAAGGAAAGGTCAAGGACAGAAAATGTTGATGCAATTGCATAGCTCTTATCAATATCTATCAGCAAAGTTTGATGAAATATCCTGTATAGTTTCTTTGAAACTGGGCTTTGAACTGAGCTAAACGCAAAGTGTGACGCATGGACAGAAAGACAGAAGACAGTCATGACAAACACTATATGCCCAGGCCATAATCATGGTGGGCAGGGTTTCAGATTGGCGTCGGCCATCGGCCATTTGCCGATAAAAATTCAAAATGGCCGGAAAAAATCAAATTAACCTGCCAAAATGGCCTATGAGTATTACATTGAGCAGACATAATGGCCGATTATTTTCTCTATGTAAAGGCCAGTCGTATAGTATTTCTCCCATTGAGATCCGATGGTTTTTTTAAAATACTTTCTGCAACTGTAGATTCATTCAGCCAATTACATTTGGGTATTAGATTCTTACAAAAAATACTTAAATTTTATTTCCAAATCCAAGTGCAATGAGCATAAAAGTAGTGATGAATGTTTAAAACATCGAAGGAATCCATGTCATGTTGTTATTTTTACCGCCATGATTGTACATGAGGTCGGACTAATAGCAGGAAGTGGACAATATTGTAAGGTTTTACTATACAAAGGAAAACATTTTTAATCTAGGCAATCTTAAAAGGTAATTATACATATCATGAGAAATACAGGTCTACTTTCTGGATAATTATTTTTAAAAAATTGTAATAATAAGAAATAAATTCATGGCTGTAATGAAAGGGATAGGCTAATATCAGTAAAACATCCATTGAATGGAATTAAACAAAACAATTTCCATTCTGTTTCAATAAATTTATTTTGTTTAAACAAGTTAAAAGAAACGAAATAAATATTATTTTCCACTTTTTATAAAAAAAAATAAATGAACATTTTTGAATATTTTTTGTAATTAATTGATTGTTTTGTAAAAGTCACATAAATCTGAGTAAGTTTAAATTTTCTATTGGCCTATAGTTTTAGGAAGTTAAGGACAAAATGGCCTATAACTTTTCTGGTAAATATGCCATATGTCCTATAGTTACTTATTTCAATCTGAAACCCTGGTGGGGCATAAAAAAACTACCGGTACCTACCAACCTACCTGCCAACCTTGATAAAAGTGGGTAGGAGTACATCAAACAAATATATTTTTAAAGCTGGCCAGTTGTTGACTAGTATATTAGTCATTTTGATATGCTATGTCTTGTAAAAAATAAATTTTATATTTGTCTTAGAACTTATTTGTTGCATCAATTTCATACCTGTATTTGATTTGCATTGTTTTGGATGCTGATAATTCAAAGTCAGTTTGGTCTTAGGTGCTGCTGACTTTGGATCTCTTAGGAACTGCATCTTTTATCTGTGTTACTGGTTCTCTTGTACCTCTGCTATAAATAAGTTTTAGTGTATACAGTTGTGTAATATCAGTGAATAAATTGAACAGACAGATTGATTGTTTATTGTTTATCATTCCTCTCAAGAATTTTTCACTCATATGGAAACGACAGTGGAGAGCTGCAAATTTTGTCCTAATGACCTATACTCAGCACTCAGGGCCATTGACTGATTGAGCAGGAAGGGATCTTTTTTGTGCCAACACCTGACCTACTGCAACAAGGGGCCACAGTTATACTGTATCATCCCAAGGACAGGTCTCTACATCCCAAAGTGGGATTCAAACTCATGATGTAAGGATCAACACCTTATTTCGCGACTCTACTAGAGCAGACATTCTAACCACTGTGCCATGCAGGCGAATTTGAACAGAAAGAAAAATTTACCAAAATCCATAAACCATGTTCTACAGGGGCTGAGAAATAGATTTTAAGGCACTAGTCCAAGGGCAAGTACATGGTCAAAATTGACTTGCCCTACCTGAATTTCTGCTTGCCCTACCATAAATTAATTCTGTATTTAAAGATATTTTCAAAAAGAGGAAGACAAATTCTGATCAAGCCCCCTTGTCCAACTTTTAAATGGCCTACAAATAAATTCTATTTTTTGAAAAGTCACTTGCCCACGGGCAAGTGGTTGATAAAATTCCACTTGCCCACCCCTAAAATTCACTAGCCCCGGGTGTCGGGCAATGGGATTTGTCATCCCCTGTTCTATAAATAGGAAACATACTCTCTAAAGTGAGAAATATGGTCATCTAAATTTTATTTAATGCAGAGAGATGGCAAAATATATGAACATCTTATCCTTGTGAAATAGATCTAAATTGCTACAAACATTTAATGCTCAAAAAAATAATCCACTAATACAAAGCAGGTTAAAATTTACTGAAAAACAAGATGTGTTTGTGAAACACTGATGCCCCCGTACGGCAATTTAGCGACAGTTAAGCTTTCTCAAATGCAAATCAAATATGTTAATTCGTACCAAAGTAAGGTCTTTTCACAAGAAATGAGAAATGTAAACACTAACTACACCTGCTCCAGGGTTATGACCAATGTTTACATCTTAAAAGATAGGACAAATTCCGGGTCAAGGTCAAAGGGTCAAGGTTGTTGTGTTCTAAAGAAAGGCCTTGTCTCAAAGATTATGTATGGGAAGTATGAAAGCACTGGCCCTTACCGTTCAAAAGTTATGGCCAAGGTTAAAGTTTGTAAAAAGTAGGTCAAACTTTAAGGTCAAGGTCAAAGGGTCAAGATTCTTGATATCCAATGAAAGGTATTGTCACAAGGATTACACATGTGAAATATGAAAGCTCTAGCCCCAACTATTCAGAAGTTATGGTCAAGGTTAAAGTTTGTAAAAAGTAGCTCAAACACCAAGGTCAAGGTCAGACGGTCAAGGTTCTCAAATGAAAGGTCTTGTCACAAAGATTAAATTTGTGAAGTATGAATGCCCTAGTCCTAACCCTTCAAAAATTTCTGTCAATGTTGTATTTTTAAAGTGGGTCAAACTCCAAGGTCAAGGTCAAAAGATCAAATTTGGTGGTACGCAAAGAAAGGTCTTTACACAAGGAATATACATATGAAATATGAAAGTCATAGCTCCACTAAATCAAAAGTTATTGGCAAGGTGAAAGTTTTTGCGGACAAACAGAGAAACAGACAGACAGACGGACACGACAAAAACTAATTACCACCGAAACTTCGTTTACGGGGGCATAAAAAGTATATTAAAAAATTACCAAAACAAAAGTGATGCAGCCACAATATCATAAATATGACGTTGGTTCCCATCAATGACAAAACTCCTCCTCTATAATCAGCTGATGAATAACATCTCGGATTCAAGAGAAATCTGTTAACAAATTAAGGCAAAAGATAATTTCGGTTAAGAATAAAACACTTCATTTTCCCTCAAAATAAACAAGATGACACTCTCTGATTTGTTTACCTGTATTTCATCGAAATATTCCTGGTGGACGCTCGCACCCAATTTCTTATGACATGAAATTCATACATCGTAAGTCGGACAACCCTCCGGCTTTGTAAAACTATTTAATTTCCCCCTGAAAGCTGTGTGTAAACCAGAAACATGCTGAACTCAATACACATTCACCATGACCATGTGCGAGGAAGTAAAAATTATCGTAAAATCTCGCGAGTCACGTGACGAGACTTACAGACTCTGGACCGAATTTTCTCAGCTTTTGAATAATGAATAAAAAGTTCACTTCCGGTAAAGGGAGAAGTCATTTCAAATGGAATTTAAATAAACATAATGAAGAGAGATATCTCTTTGCAATAAAGAGATATCTCTTTTTGCTTCAGAGATATCTCTTTTAGACCCTTTTGAAAGATATCTCTTTCACTTTAAGAGATATCTCTTAAGATAAGCTTAGAGAGATATCTCTTTTACTTAAAGAGATATCTCTTTAACTTGGAAAGATATCTCTCTAAGTGAAAGAGATATCTCTCTAACGATCAGAGATATCTCTTTAACGTTCAGAGATATCTCTTATCACGAAAGAGATATCTCTCAAGGAGAAAGAGATATCTCTCAAAGAAAAAGAGATATCTCTCTAAGTATAAGAGATATCTCTCTAACTTTAAGAGATATCTCTTTCTTATAGAGATATCTCTTTAGAATAAGAGATATCTCTTTAAGTTGAGAGATATCTCTTATTTTTAAGAGATATCTCTCTAAAATGAGAGATATCTCTGTAATTTTCAGATGAAATTTATTTTCCGAATAAATAGTAAAAGGGCTTGCCATAAAAAAGAGTTGCAAGCCTTCTCTCTTTATATGTATCAGTGAAAAACGGCATTTTTAAAAACAGCTTGTAGAGACGAAAGAGTTGCATTTTTGATAACATATAGTGCATATTAGAATAGAAAAATAGGAAAAAGGTGACTCGAACCCACATTTAAAAAGAAAAAATTGAAAGGGGGGGGGGTCCATACCCCAAGTGCCTATGGCATTAACTGATCAAAAGTTATGACCAAAGATATAGTTAGGTAAAGTCTTGAAAAAAATTGGTCAAACTGCAAGGTCAAGGTCAAGACGTCTAGTAATTTTCATGAATGTTGAATATATTTACGCATAAAACTATCACACAAGCCAATTGCTTTTCATCATCATAAAGAAATGTGAATGTACAGTATCTGGATATAATCAACATCCTATGCATAGATGTCCTTGACCTAAAGCTGAAGATATCTGAAGACATGGACCGTACAGTTGTACAGATTATTCTGAGATCCAATCCAGAGGTCTTGTTGATCATCAGTACAGATAGCAGAAGGATTCCGTGGACACTGCTCTGGATCAAATAGGACAGTTATAAACTGCCCATCAGCATTTAACAGGTGAACGTTGGAGAAACTAGAGGAATTACACACCAGGATATGTCCCAAAATATCTGTACAGATTCCTGTAGGTGAGAAGCTGTACTGGTATGGACCGTAGTAAGAGAACCGATGCTTCCCAGAGCTGGTCATCCCCTCTACCTTCCTGTTGTTCACTATACAGATATCGCCATTGATGTTTTCCGTGATGAACTTTATGTAGGAAACATCGACAACCCCTAGTGCCTGAGGTGGATTTTGTTTCTTGTTTTTTCTTCGATAAGACTGGAGGTCGTGGAGTCCTTCTTTGCTGTACCTGGTTAGTTTACACGTGTTGTCTTTCATCATCCCCACCAGAATGTCTCCATTTAGACGAGAGGAGTAGATGGAGTAGGGTTCCCAGTCAGCAGTGGTTATAAGAGTCGTGGTTTTCTTTGCACTGCCGACTCTGTAAATGGCTCTATGAAAAGTATCTGTATAAAGTAGTTCCCCTTCGGATGTTGTCGTATGGTAGCCGTTGTTATTTAAATTAGTGGATATTTTCTGAAGGATATTTCCCTTCATGTCAGCCTGGATTAAGTTTCCTTTGTCATCGCTTGCCCAGAATTTTTGAAATGGTAAGGGTGATATATGAAATAGAGAACTCAAATGAAAACGGATATTTATCTCTGTCTCTTTTTTAACATTGATGGAAACATTTCCAATTTGCTGACTTGCTGTTGTGGATATTGGTGGTTGGGTGGTTTGTACACTTTCTTTTTCTTCTCTTTTGGGAATCTTTTGTTTACTCTGACTGATTTCTCCAAATTGCTTCTCTATCTCCTCCTTTCTGATTTTACCTTTTGTAAACTCTATAGAAACAGGTTGATGTGCTTCTGGAATCTTTAAAATTGGAACATTGGCCATCTCTTTACAGAATTTGATAACTTCTGATGGTTTACTTGATCGCATCTCTATGTCATAGTCCTTGATAAGTTTCTGTAAATAGGAGATGTACTCTTCTGATTTCTTTCCTTGGTCTACCACTTCATCTAACACCACCTTCTCCATTATATCAAGTCTGGCATTATTATCAGCCAGTATGCAATCCAATGTCGCCTTAATCTCATCAGCACTTTTCTTCATGGATAATCTTGTCTGAGCTATTTTCTTTTTGATGTCTTCAGTTCTTTCTCTCTGAGACTGAAGATTTTCTACAGATCGAGGGAAGACATTGTCGCGAATCTTGATCAACTCTTTCTGGCTTTTTTGTAGACTTTCATTGTATACAACCTCTAGGTCACGTACTTGGTGACCAATATGATCTGTGGTAAAACATTTGGAACAGATAGGAGCTTGGCACTCACTACAAAAGAGCTCCAAGACCCGTGTGGGGTGGATGCTGCATTTTTCAGAAGGCAATTCTTTTATCCTATCCTGGTACAGTACAACTTCATGTTTTCCATGCCCCCTTTCCTTGAGATGATCGTCTCGGCATTGCTCACACATCCGCTGGTGGCAGGTGTTGCAGTAGTGACTGGAATAATTGTAACAGTTGCATGTGGCACATTCTACGTAGTGTTGACCAGTACCTTTACTGGTACTCTGACTCATTCTGGCAGAAGGCAATCTAAAAAATTAAACAGATATTCTGCTTTTAGAAATTACAGTCAAACCTGCATGAATTTCAAAGATGAACATATGTAGTTTTTAAATTCAATTCTGGTCCAATTTTCTATAACATCTAGAATGAGCTTAGTATTTCAGTCATTTTTTATTGAAGTTTCAGTTAACAGAGTTCCAACTTTTCTATACGACAATATTCATGCATTATGACATGATTTGTCAATCATCACTTAAGTTTGTGGATTCAGGTAAATCTGTTTGAATTTACTCCTCAGAAGCAAATTGAAAGGGTGGGGTGGGGGTAAACTCACATAAAAATGTATGCCCCAATCCTGATCATATATAAGTCTGAATTACCCCCCCCCCTTCTTTCCCCACAGTTAACCTATGCCAGATTTACTTGCACTCACCGAACCAATCTAAGTCCATCTTTCTTATGATGTTTTCACTACATATGATGATTTACAGTTATATATACTAGAGTCAGATTTGTGTAAATTAATTTTGAATTCATGTTTCTCTAAGGTGGTCATACAGTTGTTTTATTTGTATTTAGATTAATGCTTGACTGAGCACATCTTTCAGTTGTTCTGTTTAAAGTCTGGTGTAGATTTAAACTTTAAAGCAAAATGCAGGACCCACCATTATGACATACGATTACTGAGTATATTCTTGTAAATATTTAACCTTAATTATGCTTCATCTACATCTCTATCTGTAAACTATGGATTAAAATTTCACCCATTTTTTTTATTTGAAACAAATTATAAATCTCTGAAAATTAGCAATTTTATATCAAAATTTAGTAGCTTGAAAGAAAAAATTAGCCATTTCGTAAAATGTATAACAGGGTATTTTGGGTGTGGTAGGATTATTTTGAGGTTTTATCGATCTATTCCTATGATACACCACTGTATATAATCATGATAAATAATTAAGTGTCATAAATATAATCTGTGAAAAAAATTCAAACAAGCCTTGGGGTAGGTTCATCTAAGAAAGATATGTTGTCAAATGTACACAGGATCAAATTAAAATAAACTCAAGTACATATAGTTAGAATTGTATTTATTTGAAGAGATCTTTAATACATTTGAAGAGTGCAAGAATTCAATAAAGTGGTGACAACCTTTTGATTTTGAGAAATTCTGGACCAGAAATGGAAAATACGAAATGCCCTTTATTAGGAAGAAAATCCAGCATTTGCTTGTGGACCCCACCCCCTCCCCAACAAGAAATAATGCTTTGGAATTTCGAGTTTGGGCAGATTTCGATTATTTTTTAAAAAATATTTGCACAATAATTAATTTTTGCTTTCAAGATAATCTACTCTCTCTCTTCTCTCTCTCTCTCTCTCTCTCTCTCTCTCTCTCTCTCTCTCTCTCTCTCTCTCTCTCTTCTCAACTTTATTATTGCATGATAGTGTTATTGCTGATATTTTATTTGCATTCATCTCGATCTGTAATAAAATCATTGAAAATAAATTAAAGATCATATATTTAATTGAATCTTGTGCTACATTACAGCCAAAAAAGCAGTAGATGCGCTCACCAATCAAATTTATTTCATTCATTTATTCTCTCTGAAAAAAGACAAAAAAAACCTAAACAATTAACATAGAAATGGCACAATATAATATAAAAATCATTCATTGAATTGAAACTGTCACAGTTAAATTGACAAAAAAATTTGCGACAAATTAACACAATTTTTTTTTTAAATGTTGGGTCAGTATTTGTCATCAAATTACAGAACTTTAAAATATTTGGAAATACATATACCGGTAGTATTTCTTTATAGAAAATCTTTTCGAATGTACATTAAAGTAAATAATGAAATTTGTCTCCAGTTTGATTATTATTAGATATAAAAAAAAAACCCACTCTTTCCTTTCCACAATTTCCATTAACCCATGCATCTCTATTTGATTAGAAGACATTGGTTACTTGTTCTACATTAAAAAGGTCTTCGAGCTTTTGATTTTTGCAGTCGTAAAATAGTACAAGTATATTTATATACCGTATAGGACCAGTCTCTAAATAAGAGAAAGCGGAAAATGTTATCAGAGATATCAAAATATAAAAATGATAAAGTAGGAAATCGTGTATTTTTGATAAGTTTTTGCGTCTGATAAAAATAATTCTCAGAAGCAGAGAAGGGGCGGGGGTGGGTTTACACCATCCATTCGTCAGGTGCCTGTGGATTTGTTTACAATGCGTTATGTGCCTCCCCCTCCCCCATTGAAAGCTTTTTGCTGGATGGGAGATGCCTTTAAAAAATGGATTATTATGTATTTATAGTGTTTAATGCGATTTTTATCAGCAGTTTTTAATGATTAAGTTCTTAACTTCCATTTTTAAAAAAGAAAAAAAAATAGTTTCTTCCGTCAAATTTTTAAACATTAGTTAAGCCTCTTTTAAATATTGGCTGCTACTGAGTAATTTAATGAGATAAAAAAAAAGTAAAGCCGTGTTTTTAAATTTGTGACGCGAAATGTAAAAGAACGAGTTAGTAGATCTGGAACTCTTCTGTGAAAAAGGCAAGAACAGTATTCTTTTATTTGGAAATGGCCACCTCGAATGTTGATTACTACGCTCGACAAAAAGAATTACAAGATATCATCCATGAACAGTATGTATTTTTAAATATTTAATAGTATTTGCAAAATACAGATAATGAAATTACATACTGGCGCGTAATTTTGAAGGATGCAGCATTCATGTCCTTGATTTAATTCAACCGCCACTGAAGAGCTTGTTCACACATGATATTCTGATATACCCGACTTGATTAAAATATTTTTGGCCATTAAAAATTACTTGAATTTGTTTGCATATTTCCTGAAACTGTCAGAATTTGACATATTTTACAGAGAGAGGAAGCGAGAGCAACTAGAACGACAGCTTCAAATATTATGCAGGAAAGACGATAGACTGTAAGTTCAAGAGATGCCGTGTTTTTATTTCATAACCAGGCTGACAGTTTATGATGTCAATGTTCTCTTATCTGACAGCTTATAATGTAAATTTTCTGTAATCTAACAGCCTATAATGTCATTTGTAATAGTAAATACACATATTTAATATGACAAAGGTGGTGTTTAGTCATTTAGAGTAATATTTTTTCCTTCATATTGAAGAATTTGATACTGAAGAGTAATTATCATTTATGATATTCTTAGATTTAAATTATTCAATTTATTTTCTAGAGTTTAAACTTTTCTTCAAATTGACTTCAATTCATATGTGTAATATAGGTAGTAAATCCGATATACAAATATATATTTGGTTTTCTTAAAAATATGATATTTAAATAGATAAAAAGGTCTTTTTTGACAATTATCATTTGATTAAACAGGTAGATTGATTACTTTCTACTTGCTATCACAGTCGACGGGTTAGTAAAATGCAGGGAACAACTTGTACCAAACCAAACCAGATTTCGGCAAAGTAATTTTGTGTGTGTGCCTCTTGCACAAAATATCAAGAATTATCATTCACTGGAACATTATTTTCATGATGGAGACTTTCATATACAACATATCTGCACACAAACATTTCATTATTAGACACAATTTCTTTTCGCAAACATTCTATCAAATTTTTGCACCTTATTTGAGACTGCATACATTTATAAGTTTATCATTTCTAATTAACACTCTCTTTGAACTTTTGGGAAGGTATGGTTGATGATTTACTCAACGGATAAAGGTGATTTGTTTTATTCATGAACTACTTCTTGCTTATCTAAATGCACAGCTACTGGTATATCTTTTTTTGAGGACTGGATTTTGTGTGATAGTTGATGAGCATTTCCATATTAGTTCAGAAGAAAAAAAGAGAAAATTTTTTTTTTAATGTAGAAACATTTTTTTTTATAATCATATAAATGTTTCATCAATCAAACATCACAGATTTCTTTTTTTATTCAATCCTTCCTCATTTTGAAGAAAAACAATGGTATTTTTCTTTGGTTATATCAACTTATAATACTATTACCCTTGTTTTGTTATAATGCATATAATATAACTAATATTTCCAAATGCAAATAAAACACTTTCTTCTTTCTGAGGGACTTTTAGTTACTTACTGCAAATAATATAGCTTTATTATCTTGAAGAATATATTTTTTTCACAGAGCAAAGCTCAGAGCAAGCAAGCTTCAAGCTTACTGGAAGAGAGTATGCGAGGATCAACGAAGAAGTCAACAAAGAAACCAAAATATCATACGGGAATTCTCCCGCATAGATACCCATCTCACAACTGTGTCTGCTAAAACAGAAAGGCTACGATTATTAAAGGTGAATAGAAACATATATTGTTACATTCAAATAACAGTCAGCGGTACTTAAGAATAATATGCATAGATGTTTTTAAGCTTTTATACTTTTAAAAATTTTATTAATACTTTGTTTTCTAAAATTTTCTATTTTGAAAGTTTAAATTGTTTTGAAATTTGAAAGAAATCTGGTCCGAAGCTATAGGTAGGTTTACAAAATGTTGTTACGGAAGAAAAAAAAACCAATAAGAATGAATGAAGCAAATTATTAAGGCTTACGAGGTAATGCTTGCCCATTTCATGTCAGTGGCAAAGTGAAACTTAATAATTTTTATTAACTTTTTGAAACACACGAATCAATTTTTTCTTGAAACTTTATTTTAGAAACAATATGAGGAATACATTGAGAGAACTTACCCTCTTTGGAAAGAACGGGTCACTGGAATGGGAAGAGAGGGCTTTGTCCAGGAGCATGTATCCCCTCAACAGGTTTCTCTATCTTTTAGTGAAAACACTTAATTAAATGTACTTCTTAAAAATAAGATATTACAAATTAAATAATCCTGAATACTGTAAACATACCTTTTTCCCCAAAGGGCCATAATTCTGCTAAATCACAATATTACCGTTACTTTTCAATCTGCATAAAATATGAAAATTTTGTGGATATCTTGAATTACCTTTGTATCCCTTAAATTCAGTTTAAGCATGCTGTTACGAAGTTTTGTTGATAATTTGAGATGCAATACATACCTGAAGTGTTAATTAATCCCATGGAAAAATATGTCATTTTAGTTGGATTTTACTCAATGGGGAATTGTATTGGGTATTAACCACAGATGTGCTTTTAACAGAGCTAATGAAAGTATAGTTGAGAAAAAAAATTGTTGGATCTCACTGAATTTATTACCCTATTTGTGCAATATATGAATATATCTTCAGATTCCAAGAGAGGAATATTTTGATACAGGAATGGAGGGTGACCCGATATCACATCGCTCATATTACATGGAAGGCCCAGAGGAACATGGAAGAGGGCCAACTATGACCCCTACCAAACCCACCTCAGGCATGAAGGTAAAGAGTCTGTATACTACATGTATTTATGTTTATTGGTAAAAAACCTGAGGATTGACTGTTACAAGATATCATAAAGCTCCAACTCTGTATGTATAAGATAAATGCTAGAGACATAGAAAAATGTTGCACCTATCAAATATATATTTACTGGTCTATTCAGGAGGCATCTGATTATGCAAATCTAAAAGAAGTGAACAGGAAAGACCAATCACAAGCAAGACAGGTTAATCAGAGTGAAAGACAGCAAGAGACAATGGACAGGCAGAGAGAACAGGTCTCCAGAATACCCTCATCTTCACAGCTGCCTCGAACTGTCCCCTCAGGGTCTCAAGTCCCTCCCTCCCCTCAAATTACGAGACAGGCAGAATCCTCCCCACAAATGTTACGATCCTCTCAGGTGCCCCCTGCTGATGTCAGCGCAGAAGAGGTGGAGGAAATGATGTCACAGCCCATACAGAGTGTGACAGTCAAAGGCATCGAGGGGAGACCACTAGAACCAAGGGATACTGAGTCACCAGGAGGTACATGGGATATCTGTTTGTATGAGTATTAAAGAAAAGGAGACAAAATGTAAAACCTCAGTCACCAACCAGATTTATTATTAAGTTTGCTATTCTTTGTTTGTCGTGAGATCTATTTCTGAATGAATATCATATTAACTGTATCATATTTTAGAAATACTGACAACCAAATCTTTTAAGTTCTAAAATATATACAAGATTAACAAGTAACATACAAATCAATATCATACATGCCAACTTTCCCGATTTAGGCGGGATCCTCCCGATTTTACCCTTTTATCCCGCCTTCCCGATCGGGAGAGAAAAATTGCCCTAATTTCCCGATTTGAAAAAAAAAAATCACCTTAAAATTTCAGATTTTAAAAGTTTCCCTACCGCTGAATTTTTGACAATCGGGATAACAATGTCAGACTTGTATATTCAAAGCACACAGATAAGTTTCATTGTTTATCTAACCAGGTGTTCATTACTAATTAGCAACAGGAAATCACTTCACGCATGAACGCACACAGTTGTCCAGGTACGAGTAGCTTATAGCTTCTAAACTTGGGGCTTATCTTGTCAGTTTTAAGGGGTATGCAAGGTGAAACACATAGATTAACATGATAACTGTTAGTCATTTTATTAAAAACATAAATTAAAGACAATAAAATACCTATTAAACCATAAAATCGGAATCCAAAGAGATCGTTTTTTGAAAACGAAAGTAGAAAACTACAAAGCATAGCTGATGATTTTATCTACCTATAATAAAAAATATTTCTAAGTTGCCAATTAAAATACTATGAAAAAATTAAGATGAAAGCTCAGAAACAATCAAGTGTATTTCAATTAGAATTTCTTTTCCCTCCCTTCTCCCAAAAGTAATGTGCATGACTAAAGGAAATACCCACATGGCACCATCAACCCTGACAAATATTTCATAACTGTAAAAAAAAAAAAAAAATTTCTTTTAGATAGGTGGTATAAATTTCTGTAAATTTGATATCTAATTAGAATTTCTATTATATATAAAAAAAATCTCAAAAATGTTTCCAGAAACAGGACTTTACAGTATCAAAACCTCATATTTTTTAAGCCTTTGAAAAAATGATTTAAAAGTTGTAAAATTTTCAATTTTTCACAAATTATGTGTTCTGGTAAAAAAAAAATGTTGTTTACATATGTAACTAAATACCCCTTCTTAAGTGAAAGAGGCACCTATTTTAGCAGAAATATTTCAATTTTGGAAAGAAAAACATTATTTTTTGATGTTAAATTAATTCTTAAGTTGTATTGATAAGTAATATCAAAATTATAAATTTAAAAAAAGATAATTTCATAATCATTTAATTTCACGACAAAATGTCGCGAATTTAAAGCTTTGAAAATTGTCGTCACGCGTTAAATCCCCCATGCGAATTTTCAAAAGTTGGCATGTATGCAATATATGTATATCTGTCAATAACCATTCATTATTGATAATAAGAAGTCGAGGTGACTCAGTCTCAACTGTTAGAGCCAAAGGTTTCTCAAAAGTGATTCACAAATAATTTGTCAGTTTTTAACTGTTAAATCTTTTATTTTTTAGGTATTTCTCATTCATCAGGAGGTATGGACCCTGGACAGGATGAGGAAGACAGTGAATTTGGGTCAGAGGTGGATCTTCCGGTGGCTGATGAGCACCACCCACCACCCCCTCAACAGGTGGCTCCAGACAACATATCAGAGCAAAGCTCACCCGATGAAGAAGTGGCACCACCAATAAAGGCCTCGGTACAACCCAAACGGGACAGGTAAAAATACATTTGGCTGAGGGAAAGTTTTGAGGCCATATTAATTGATGATATTTCATACTGCAGAATCGGAAATGTACATGTATGATAAACTTGTAAGCGATTTATTTATTTCATCCGCATTTGTTAGGCTGAATACAAAACCACAATGGCATCATGGCAAAAAAGAAATTAGTGGAAAATTAGGTAGAGGGTTCTTTTTATAAAAAAAATTTAACTTCTTTTTTAGACTTGCTCCAACACCTGAGTTGACAGTTCATGGTCTGATAAAGCTGTTGAAGTTTATTCAGTCAGATTTTCAGCATGCCTTGTCTTTAGAAGGATACTACAGATCTCATCCAGCATCCCCAGCAGACAGACAGAGCATAATACAGTAAGTATCCAATGAAAACACAGATCATGATGAAACTAACCAATGAAAACCTAGATCATATTACAACAAACCAATGAAAACTGAGATCATATTGTAGATGAGCAACAAAAACATGAATCATATTGTAAATGATTATTTAAAAAAAACTTTGCCAGTATACATACATGTATAATTGACTATTGACATTGTTTTTCGCAGCCAATTCTCCACAGAATTATATGAAGGACTGTACTTGCTGCATTTTTTTTAATGTGTTGAAGTATTTCTTGGCTTCATCAGAAATCTTTTTTGTTATTTAGGAGGGCAAACACTGGATCAGATCTATCTGGTTTGGACAGTGAGCTGGTTTCAATGGTGATATTAGAGCAGATGACCTTGGTCATTAGAAGTTTGAGAACTCCTTGTCTGTTGCCAGACTCCATTTTGATGGGGAATATTGACACCATAAGCCAAACCCAAATCAGGTAGAATTTTGATGTGCATACATTTCTTTCAAAAAAAAAACCAAGCTGTTCTTCCTGAAGAAGTACTGTGAAATAATTAATTTTCGTGGGGGTTTAATTTTCGTTGTTTTCGTGGTATGAAGAGACCCACGAATTTATGTCCACCACGAAATGTAAATTTTCATATGCACAACTATGAAAACGTTCTTCATCAATGAAATCAAATCCCCACGAACCAACATTTTTTCCTCAAACCACAAAAATTTTACCCCACGAAAAAATGTGATTTTACAGTATACAATTTTGTTAACACAGATATATCTTTTTGATGATAATGATTTGAGAGTAAACAAAAATTTTAGGGTGATGTTAAGAGATGATGCCCAGCCCTTGTGGGATAGCCTCTTTGAACACTTAGTCCAGCTAGTCATCTGTAAGGTCATGACCCCTAATGAGGTTGCAGCTGTGTTTGTGCCATGTATGGTCTCTGATAAATCTCCGTACCAAGACAAGGTAAATTTCTGATGCCAGCAGAACTCAATTTTCTGTGTGTTTCTCTTTGAACAATTTTGAGATACTATAAACCAGCTTTTATTTGCATAAGAAAAATACAGTAAAACCTGACTAATCTGACATGCAATAGGAGATCAATTTTGTGTCGGAATAAACAGGATGTTGGATTGCCCAGTGTAAAATGCATGTAGTAAAATGGGAGAGGAATTTAACCTCAGAATTCACAGTGTGACAGATTGCACAGATGTCGGATTAGATGGATTTCACTGTATACACAAATTTCACTCTTTGGTTTATTTACTGTGTTTTTAGGCATTTGAGCTTCTAATGAAGTTGTTGAGAAGTCAGGTAGATGGTAAGCCAGATATGGGGTCCCCCAGGGATGGAATGGACAGTCTTACTAGTAGAAATATTTCAGGAGGTAAGACAAAAAAAAGTAAAAAAGAAGAATTGTACACAAAGTCAAAGCTTTCTTTGATAAGCCTCTTTCATGGATTTTTTTTTTTGTTTTTTGGAAACCTTTTCTGTTGAATGAATAAATATGTTCTTTGTAAAGTGATACAGTTCATAACTTTTCCTTATGTTATGAATGAAAAAAATATTTGGCTTTAATATATTTTTTCTTCCTTAGACCTTAGGTTATTGTGATTCATAAGATTGCAATACTGTAGATCACTTAACTTTCGCGACATCTTATTTCCGTGAGAAAATCATTGACTTTGATTAGCGAGACAAAATTTTCCCGAATTGCGGTTATTGCTCTATATAATCTTAAGGAATACTATTATACACGAGAATTAAATTTTCGCTAGCATACTGTCTCGTGTAATTACGCGAAAATAAAGTTCTCGCGAATAAAAAATGATTTACAGTATTCAAACCCCCCAGAATCTTTCTTTATTATTAAAGGAAATATAAAAAAAATTACTGATTTGTCGCATCAACCTTAATTGTGTACCTAAATTTCAGCTGAGATAGGGCCGGACGGTAAAGTCACAGGTACAGGGTGTGTCTAATAATATCACATACATCTCATCATAGCCAAGGAGTATTAAGAAAATTTGTGTGTCCATTAAAAAAAAATTATCTAGGCCAAGTACCTGGTAGTAAATAAAAAATAAACAAAGATAGTTTTAAAAAAAAATAAAAAGTAAATGAATAAGTAAAAAAATTTTAAAAAGAAAACATAAATTTCACACCTATGCTAATTACATGTACACGTTTCCCTTTTTTATCATCATGATAATTTTTTGGTGTACTGTTACCTATAATATTCACTAAGGAATCCAATAACAAAGCACAAGTCATATAATTCAGAAAATCATTTTGTTCCATATATGTGTATCATTTGTTTGTTGTTTTTTTTTAGCAGTTAACCGTTTTGGCTAGTACATGTATAAATTCTATAAAGGTTTGCTTTCATGTAATGGGACATATCAAGCAAACACTATATCTTAGGCTCATTGTGTGTTGCAAAAAGTGGTGTGGATTTTGATGTGTTTCAGAGATTTATATATGGTTTTAATGGTCAATTAAATTTATAGCGTGCAGCAAGAATAAAGAAAATTTTAATTAAATTTCTGCTTCTTGATATGAATACTTATTTTGTATTGTAAAATATTTTTTACTTGTCACAGTTCCACCACTGAAATTCCCAGGAAGTTTAATTGACAGATCTCAGACTTACAACAGTGATGACGATACCAGTGTTATAACACAGAGTGTCACAAGCTCAAAGATCCCCCTCAATGGTATGGTTATTTTCTATTCTATTAAATCATTTCAGATACCCTGATAACAATTTACCACTTTATATTTTAAATCAACCTTCTTAAAACAATTTTTTGGTGTATGGTGTTTTTATTTTGTGAAATGTATGGTGTTGGGGTTTTTAGATAAGCAAGGGTACACAGTTGACCTTTGATATCTTGAACATGTATATATTGGTATACTAAGAACAGGAATATTAACCAAAATTAATGAATTACTGTTCCCAAAAATTTAAAGATATTTATTAAAAGAATTAAATTTTTAATTCAATATCTCATATCTTTGGATGTTACAATTTTGAAATCAGTCTTGTCAATGCTTTTCTGCCTTTTACACTGTACTGTCCCCACAAACACTTGGCAGATTTAGCTACTTTTAACGGCTGATCATATTTTATTGTATGGAGAAAAAAATTTGTGGTGTCTCAAAATTTGAGATATTAACTGTATTTAAAAACACAACAAGTCTGAAAATATTTTCTTATATGTGGGTGGTTTGGGGGTTAAAAACAAAACCTTATTGGGCATTTTTTAAAGTGTTATAAGTAGTATCTAACAATACGAAATATGCAACATTAAAAGGAAAACAACTCCTATTTAACAGAAGTAATAATTTTGTTTTTAAGAAAAGTAGTTTGTATACTTCTATGTACAATAATAACAAAGTAAATTTACTAATTCTAAAGGCAGATATGTGTTTCAGTGTAATGTTATTGGGTAAACCCTTGGTATATGTGTGTTTTGTGTATAATTATTCAGTACCATTTAAAGGCAAACGAGGTGAGTAGATCACAATGTTGATGTTGGCAATTTCTTATACACCTCATAGAAAGATTCATTGTCATCAAAGGCATAACATTATAATGACAGGCACCTCAGAGTGAACATCAACATTATCTGGTGATGCTTGGGCACCTCAAAGAGAGAGAGCAACATCATTCTTTAATGGTGCTAAGCACCTCAAAGATCTTGGCACCTCAGAGGGAAAGAGGAAGAGAGAGAGGGAAAAAGAGAGTGAGCAACATCATTCTTTAATGGTGCTAAGCACCTCAAAGATCTTGGCACCACAGAGAGAGAGAGAGAGAAGAGATGAGAGAGAGGAGAAAGAGAGAGGGAGAGAAAGAGAGCATAATCCCTTTCTCATGGTGTTTGGTGCCTTAAATATAGAGAGATTATTGTTATCTGATGCTGCCGAGTTCTGCAAAGAGAGCATTTTAATTTTTCTAAAAAAAAAAAAAAGCTTAGCACCACTGAGATTGGATAAGTGTTATCTGTTCATGCTGGGAACCTCAGAGAGCGAGAGAGAGAGAATTATTTGATGAAACCCAGCCACCCAGAGGCACATGGTATCGTAGAGGCAGAGCAACATCAACATTCATGTTATAATCTGACAATGCTTTTAACTCAGAGAGCAGCATTATTGTCTGACATAATTTAGGATCTCTGGGAGAGCATATGTTATGATTTATGATCTCTTAGAGAGCATATATTATGATTTAGGATCTCTTAGCATATATTATCATTCATTATCAGATGAATTGCATTCAGCATATGTGTGGAGAGATGTGGCTTAGCTGAATTTACTGATGGATGTACATGTATCTATTGAATTAAAACAAAAAAGGTTTGCAGTGGCTCAGTTTATCAAAACTTGTGCATTTTTTGCATATTCATATTCAAGCTTTGAAGTTCTTGTATAGTGTATATATATTTAAAAAGCTAATGATTAAGAATGTTTGCAAAATTGGAAATGAATTATAATTAGTGATGATAAAATGGATATTTTTATGTAGATTATCATGATAAGTTTTCATTTATCAAATTTCACATTCATGACCATTTGTCACTGAATTTTGTTATATTTTTTCTCATTAACTTTTCTTGTTTGAGCTGTTATTGATTAATTCATACTTTGTTTTTCTTTAAATATCAAAAATACACATACCAGTAATTGAATAAAGATGAAAAAAAAAAGAAATAGCATTCATTAAAAATAAAATCCGTTTACATTCTTTCTCAAACTAAAAAAATATATATTTGTCATTAAAATCCAGGTAGGTTTGTCATACAGGTCTTTTTTTAGGAAGTAAATTATAGAAAGGTTAATGATGGTATGCCTTTGGCAAGGAAGCTGCAATCAAATATATTTACGAATTGGCTATACATTGAAGATTGAACTGAATAGGCATAGTACATACATGTATAAAGAAAAACAGAAAGTGCAAAAAATAAAATTTTCTTAATTCTATTTAAAAATTTAGTCTCTCACACCTTTTTGTCACCTGATAATTTGTCCCTACAGGTACTGATTACCTATCTTTCATATATTAAGACTTTATATATGATATTTTGCTTCTACAGCTACGGATGCCTATAAGAACATGCTGTCTGGATCACTCCCTCAGCAACAGCGACAGCCAATGGCAGATGACGACGAAGAAGGAGACACAGACGACGATGTGGAAAAACAGTTTGCTTCTGCCCTGTCTCCGAGAGAACAGTAAGATCCCCCTCTCCTCTAATGTACTATTACTGTGGAATCATTTTAATTCATTGAGGTCAATGTTTATGGGTAAGCAAAGTTTGATTGTGGGGACATAATTTTGTTAATCACTAGTGTATTCAGATGATTCATTGAATAAATATATTGACAAATCATTGATGGGGATGTAAATTCATGGATAAGGATGACCCATGAAAATTGGTCCCCACAAAGAATGATGATTCCACAGTATATATAACTAAGTAGTCTCCCAGAAAACAGCAAGGTACCTCTCCCTATGTACAAGTACATAATATTCTACAATCCTTCAGAGAAAAAGCAAAACCTCTAATGTTCACGTATATAACTTTGTAGTATACTATCCTAGAAAACTGAAACAAAACATTCTTTATTCTAGAAATCCATGCCAAAGTTATGATATTCATCGCTAAGGTTATGATATTCATCGCTAAGAAGTGTGTCTTTTTTTCAGAAATGTTGCAGCAACTATACCCACCGGTTCTTCGAAAATGATGGAGCCAGACGTTTTGTCAGATGAAAGTTCAACTGTGGCCTCTCCTCTGTATGTCCCAACTGCTGTCACAGCAAGGTAGGTGTGACCAAATTTATTAGGGATTCAAAGATTTAGTCCGATTCATAGCAGTAATTATATGTAACCTTATAATATCTCCAAAAGATGTCAGGTACAGTATGCTAATCAGATACAACATAAATAATTTTTGATTTACAACTATAAGAATTATCCTGAATCAAGTACATGGTGTAAAACACCTTCATTTGATATAAGCATTGACCTAGAGTTTGCCTTCTTTCAGCAGTAAACCTACAAAGACAGGCATGACTACACCCAGATCTGCAGGACTTTCCCAGTCTGGCCCAAGACGACCAGGTAAGGGTGAATTTTTTTAAAATCCGATGAAAAAAAAACAACAACACATTTTGTAAAGGGGGATAAGTCCTTAACATTCATATAAGTCTAGTAAGCATTCATAATTTAGTGTCAAGTGTTGCTATTGAAGTCATAGGATACATTCCATAAAGGGGGATAACTCCTTAGCATACATATAATTTTAGTAAAAATAAATAATTTACAGTTATTAATGTTGCCATTGGAGAGTATCATAAATATATTGCATGAAAAATTCTTTTCCAGGAATACAATTCCAGTCTGACCTTGACACGGATACAGAAATAGACATCCTCCAGAAAAAGGAGGACAACAAGGACAAGGAAGACGAAGATTTTTACGATTTTTATGGATAACGTGGAACTGTTACATTGTTGTTAGAATATAATAAGAGACATTTATTTATTTATTTCATAAAGGACCAGAAAAATCTAGCAGCAGTTATCAAATTCTAGTGAAGTGAGAGACTTTAATGTTAATGTTCTTGTTTCACAAAGATGTTGATTTAGTTATTTTGTAACAACTTGTAAAATGTTAATGCCATAATGAAAATACAATATTTTAAATTTTTGTTTTGTCTTTTATATTAACATACAAATTCTTGTATTAAATAACACATTCAATGTTTTTCATCTTTACTGATATCAGTATTACATAGTGCATTGTTTGATCACAAATTTTTAATACTGTATACAGGGTTATTTTCCCCCTTTTACAGTTGCAAACAATTTTGCCACATTTTTAATTCGCTCATTTATAGTTTTGTTTAAGAAATTATACTGTATTCTTTGAATTCACCCAAGTGAGGGTTGGGCAAAAGGGGCAAAATTAAAATGGGGGCAAAAATTTCCTTGTATACAGTTTTAAACTCTATTTTTGAGACTCGGTCATTTAGAAAATATAATTCTATACTTTCAAGTTCACTGTTGAAAGCTGTCACAACAGCATATCTGAAGTCAAATTTCTGTCGGATTTAATAATCAAAGATTATTTATAAGAAAGTCCTGAAATTTCTATCAAGTAGACAAAATTCTGCATATACCACAAAGATGGAAGTAGCTGGGATATATACAAACTTGTACTGTACATCTATAATACAATACTGTAAATCACTTTTTATTCGCGAGAACTTTATTTTCGCATAATTACGCGAGACAGTGTGCTCACGAAAATTCAATTCTCGTGTATAATAGTATTCCTTAAGATTATATAAAGCAATAACCACAACTCGCAAAAATTTTGTCTCGCTAATCAAGAGCCAATGACTATCTCGCGAAAATAAGGTGTCGCGAAAATTTAGTGATTTACATGTTCAGTAATACATTTCTCAGTTAAAAATTTGGTCAAGAAATTGAATTCCATGATCACATATTTATGAATAAGTACTGAATTTGTTTTCAAATCAAAATCTATTACATGTATAATCAGTGCTAAGTGGAGGAGTTACAAAAATTAACAGGCTTTGGGGAATGTGAAGGGTTTTTTATCTGGGAATATTCATCCACTGTATGAGGTTTTAATTTGTTAGAAGCACCCTCCAAATCCATGAAAACTGAACCTCTAGAAAAATACCCCTATTAGTATGAATTCACAGTAATAGATAAATCCAGTGTTGTATTTCCTTCAATTGTATCAAGACAGTTGAGGCAATGTCCCTATTTGTTTGTGTGTCATTTCATGTGTCCTCTGCATTATCATCATCACTTTCTTTATCCCAGTCCTTCATTTTAGCCCCCATCATAAAATCATCTCTGAGAGCACTCCACTTCTCTTCTTTCTTAATTTCAACCTGTAAAATTATGTCAATCTGTAATGTCAATCTGAAGTACCATACACATTGGTTAAATTAAGGGGTTGAAATACTGTAATCATAGTTAAATTCGGGCATTGAAGTACATGTTTAATTTGATAGGTTTTTTGGGGTATGGCAAGTGGAAATCTGGCTATTGTTAAAACTTGCTCATAATGAACTTAAAGAAAGTTACTGAATCAAATGAGTGGAGGAGCATTTACAATGTACATAGAGTATTTCTGAAGATCCAAGATGCATAAGTAGGTAATAATAAATAAATATATATTATTTACTGGTACCTGTTCAGGTTTACTCTCGGCACTTTTTAGGATATCCAAGAATTTGCCTTTGGTCATTGACTTTTCCACTTTTTCTCTTTTGGTCTCGGAAGATCCCACTTCCTTCATCTTTTCATCCAGAACCTTCTGTTGTTTCCGCACCGCATTAAAGAGCTGAACGACACCCCTGAAGTGAAAATAAGAAATCGGAATTGATGCACATTTTTGCTTCCTTATAAGCATAATTCATAATATACATGTACTTTGAATGGTCAATAGACTCAAAACTGAAGGGGAATGAAAATAACTTCACTATAAGCATCAGTACTTTATAAGTGTGTTTGCTTTATGCATGTTTTACTGTCTACAGAGTGACTATCATAATTACAAAGAAAGTATTCCTTGTTAATCTTACAGAAAATTCTGGAATAAAAAAATGCCTCAAGCATATAATTCTAAGAAAGCCGGATAGGCTCATTTCTGAGAAGATAAAAAAAAATTTAACTCGTATCTCGTTATAACAACTAAGTTATCTCGTTATAATGAGTTAGTTATCTCGTTATAAAGAGTTAGTATCTCGTTATAATGACTTAGTTATCTCGTTATAACGACTTAGTTATCTTGTTATAACGAGTTAATTATCTCGTTATAGCGAGTTAGTTTTCTCGCTATAACGACTTAGTTATCTCGTTATAACGAGTTAGTTATCTCATTATAACGAGTTAGTTATCTCGTTATAACGAGTTAATTATCTCGTTATAACGAGTTAATTTTTCTCGTTATGACGAATTAATTTTCTCGTTATAACGAGTTAAAAACTGATCTAAAGTTGATATATCTAAGTGATAGGAAGTATAGAAGTATAACATATAAAACCGAGTTGATCAAGTTTGTTTATAGTGTGTATGATAAAGATTTTTATCGAAAAACAGCAAACTAGTTTATTATTTTTGTTTTTCGAGGGGTTGTGCCTGTGATTGTATTCTGTTTATGTATAAACGATGCAGTTGATTTGTATTGTTTACCTATAAGACCGAAGACAAATACATGCACATGTATACGAAAATTTATGACTGCCTCTTGATGTTGTGTTATGAGTGGGCAGTAGCCCCCGAATTTTACGCCCATGGCCTCATTGCTGATGTCTCCATATCCCCCTTCTTCAAAACATTTCTGACTCTCAAAATAATATATATCACACTGTAAGTGTATATAATATATGTTGCATTAACGCCTGCGTTAGCTTCCTATTATAATGTATTAATTTAGGTACTAAGACATTGGTTATGAAAGCTAATAAGTCATCCAAAACATATCAGAAAAATTAGTGTCTTTTATCGGAGAAAGTTGCCATAAATAAATTGCCAAACTTTGAAGCAAGTACAATTGGTAATAGATTTTTTTTTAATATTGTGTCCTTGGAGACGTTCACGTATAAATGTGTAAATAAAGATTGCTATACTTATCAAATTGTGATTATTGACAGCAAGATAGTTCAGGATTATTAAATATTATTTAAACCATATTGCAAATTAAAATTGCAATTTTTTATCAATTTTAAAGTGAAGTATGACTGATAATTATCAACTAAACATCAATGGCATAAAAACTACAGCCATTTTTAATTCATAACTAACTCGTTATAATGAGATAATTAATTTGTTATAATGAGATAACTAACTCGTTATAATGAGATAATTAACTGGTTATAACTAGATAACTAACTCGTTATAACGAGATAATTAATTCATTATAACGAGAAATAAACTCGTTATAACGAGATAACTAATTCGTTATAACGAGATAACTAATTCGTTATAACGAGATAACTAACTCATTATAACGAGATACCTAACTCGTTATAACGAGATAAGTAATTCGTAATAACGAGATAAAACTAATTCGTTATAATGAGATAATTAACATGTTATAACGAGATAATTAACTCGTTTTAACGAGATACTAACTCGTTATAACGAGATAACTAAGTCGTTATAAAGAGATAATTAACTCGTTATAACGAGTTAATATGTAAAACACCTTTATTTGATATAAGCATTAACCAAGTAAGTTTGCCTTCTTTCAGCAGTAAACCTGTTTGAACATTCATGCAATTCTGGTAAAAATGAATAGTGTAAGGTTTTTTTATCTTTTCAGAAATGAGCCTATCCGGCTTTCATATAATTCAATGTCATTTAAAAAAGGAGGAAAATATATGTTTTTATCAATTTATATGGAATGTAAAGTAGTATAAAATTATCAAAAACCTTTGTGCTATACGCTGAAGTTTTCGTTCCCTCTCCCTGTCCAGTGGGTTGGGTTTGGTGCGACCCATACTCTCCCAGAGCTTTTTCTACAAAAATCAAAAAGTACGATTTGACTTAATTAGGTTTACAAATAGGGTGAATTCACCATGCATCGGACACATACCTTGCTTCGGACAACTTTAGGCAATAAACTCTCTTTCAACTTAAGAGTTCCGTGTATTTATTTGATTCTGTCTTAAAGATGAAGATTTAAATTTTTTAATGATACCGATTGTTATTATCATGTTGTGATAAAAATACTCCGATAATGGCCTTGAAGTTACATCATATTTTACATCATCAAAGGGGAATAACCAGAAATTTATGATTTTGTTTTGTCTTTTACAATTTTTAGAGTTATCGTTCTTAAAATTCGACTTCAACGGACCAGATCAGACTTTGGTGAATTTTATCAAAGATTGGCAACTTTACATAAATTTTAAAGAATTTTCCCTTCGATATTTGTATAATTCTTTTTAAAGCTGGTTTTTACTAGTATGTTCATTTCTCCGTACATCGGACACAAATTAACCATGCATCGGACACTTTCCGATGTAAAGGTAATCACGACCATTTTGATACAGAACCCTACTGACAGCTGTTTTTGTCGGAAATAGAAAATAAAAACTCTAAATTTTCAGTCAGAATACAAGTTATCCATATATGAAGTCTAAAATCTGACTCAATTTATTTCTACAAACCACAGTATGATAGCACATGAGAAAAAAGGCGCGAATTACCGCATTACAAGCATTTTAAGAATTTCTAAGGCAAAGTGAGGCTTCTTGAGTCGTTCTACATTTGTGCAACGATATCGTCAATTATATTTAAGTTGAGGGTTATTTCTTAGATAAAAGATGAAAGTTTATCCATATCAAGGAATTCAAAGCACTGTCATGAAGGTATTATATTTTCCCAATTCAAATACCGTCTGTCCGATGCATGGTAAACAATGTTCGATCCATGGTGAATTCTGAGTTATTTTTAAAAACTCGATTTTTGATAATATTTTCTCAATAAAAAGCATATAATTGTGTCCAAAATTTATATTTTAATCACGTACTAAATGTTAAACTCCATTTTGATAGTTTTCCGTCGGTAGCGATATCACTAGGACTTGTTGAAGTACAAGGGTATCCGATGCATGGTGAATTCACCCTACATCTATACTGTCTTATCTTTGTCTAGTTTTGAAAGCCTTGAGTGTAAAAAAAAATGCAATAGATTGTTTATGAATAAATGGTTTATACAGTGATAAATAGTCAAACTTCAATACATGTATCTCAAATAGAGATATTGCAAATAAGTGAGTTAGAAGTGCTATAAAAACCTTTTTTGCCCTGCTCCATCACATCTGAGAAAGTAGAGTTTGAATATGTATTGCATTGGCTTGTTAAGATAGAATGTTCTGTATCTGGTTTCATATATATTTTTGAAATTACTCTGTCTTTTCAAAAGCATATAGATGGTTTTCCATTGAGTATTACCCATGGTGCCATATTGTAGGACAATATTCCCAGATCCCTTCATTATTCAACCAAGTTCGATTTGTTATACTGGTTACTGTGGTAAAGATAGAGCTATTTTTTTAAATTAATTATATATGTTTGTTAAAGCCTCTATCTATTCATAATTTTAAGATTGCTAATATTTTCCCCTACATATTTCTGGCATGCATATTTAAAATTGCATGGTTGCTAAAAGAGGAAAATTCATTGGTCTGCCCTACAAGATGGCAGCTAAGGGGAATAACTCCTAGGCAAAATATGAAAAAGGAAAACCATCTATAGTCATTGGTGTCTGACCTTCTGCTGAGACACATGAGATTCTCTTGTTTCTTCATCAACATTTTGTCGCTTTCGGGTCAACTCCTTGTCAGTGGTTCCCTTTGCAAGAATAGTTTGTTTGTGTGCTGGAATCTGTTTCTTGAGAATTTTATTCATGGCATCAGCAAGCCCCGCTTTTGTATCTCCTTGGATTTCAGAGTCACTAAGTCCATCATCTGCCATGGACAGAATATTATCACCACTTTCATTTTCATCATCATCATCATTTCCACTTTCATCATCATCATCATCTTCATCATTTTCACTTTTTATTGTCATGTCTTCATCTGTTTTTTCTTCGGTGTCACTTAATTCTACAAATATTTAATAAAACAATATCACTTCAACATAAAAAAAATAAAAGAAAAAATCACTCATTCTGTACTGTATTTTAGTACACATTTAGAGAATATAAAGCAGATACAAATTTTCTTAAAAAGACCTTCTTCAGATGCGCTGGTTGCTGAAGCACTGTCATCAAAATCGTCAGATTGGTGCAACACGTGTACCTCTGTCATCTTTAAAACTGAAAGTGAAAATAGGTATGATGAGAAATCTTAAAATTTAATTTGCACAAAACGAATTTACTGTTTCATTAATATATTCGAATTGTACATGAAATAGTCAAAATTCAGATCATACTTAGTTAAATATATACAAATTGTTTTAGTTTAACTTTGCATTTATGGTATCAACTGCATATATCTTTTGTTTCAGTGCACTAAGTAAAAGTCGGGTTCGATATTCTAGCACATCTTGTAAACTTCCGGCAGCATGGACGGTTTCAGCTTATTTCGAAAACTTGGAGTTGGTACAAAATTTGATTACCGCCGCTTTAAAAAAGATGCACAAGTTTTAAATGTAAGATGATAAACAACATTGTTTTTTAAACAGATTTCAGTAGTTACCGTGTTCTTGTTTTCTCTTCTTTAATCCTACATTTTGTTTTACAGCTTTTACCTTCCCAAAGTGTGCAGACTGTATCGAAAAATGAAAATCAACGAGAAGAGACTGAAAAACTAGATCTTGGTAGAGTATAAGTCGTTGAGAAAATCTTAATGAATGTTGACATTGTGTCATATGATCAATATCAATATGGAAATAAAAAACATATCAATACATATAATATTTTGGGCTTGAACTGTAGCTCACCAAAAAAAAAAAAAAAAAAAAAAAATGAAAGAAAAAAAAGAAAAGAATGAAGATATAATTAACGCTAAAAGAACAATTATTTACTTTAAAATTCTTACCAATACCCATCATTTTATTATTGAAACCCAGATTCAGAGCAAGAAGTGGAGGAGGAGGAACAGGACATGCCAGAGGAAACTGAGGACACGGTGGAATCTGATCTCACAGTTCTACAGGGATTAAAGAAAAAGGGGGAGAAAGCAAGAACAAAGAAGTCCAAGCAGAGTTTTGCACAACGGAAACAAGAAAAAGTATATTCTACTCTCAGATGTTGTTAATAGTATTAACATTAATTGATTAAATACAAATTCAGTGGAAGCTTATAAATAATCTTCTTTTTTTGGTCTCATTTTTTTCCACTACTATTATGTATGTTGTTCATAAATATCACAACAAATTGATATACAGAGTATCATTTTTGTAAGAAATGTTCTTGACATGAATTAGTTTTTTATTTCTTAAATATGGAGTGTTAATTGATTTCATAATAATATAACTTGATTCTGTGGAATCATCAATGTTCATGGAGGACCAAAGTTGTAAATTTTGTAGGTCACTTTTATCCATGAATTTTGATCACCACAAACAATTTTTTGTCAACAATTTATTCATTGAATCTTCTGTGTACATTGTATATGAGTTACCCCTGAAATTACATCCCAGCACACCAACAAATTTTTGCTTACCATTGAACATTGACCCCTACAAGTTATAATGATTTCACAGTATACCATATTCTTATATAGCCATGTCCAGTGCAAATTCTCTCAATCACAATACCTAGCTGGTAACCATTATTTTGTTTCAAAATGGTTGTTTGCTTATAAATATCATCACATTACACCTTTGGATTTATAAGTTAAAAGTAATAAACATTTCCTCTTTTGCTATGACAGATTAATCATATCCGGAATCAGAACAGGATCCACTGCTTTGGGGAGGACCCCCCTGATCCCTGTTCCAGCTTTGAACAGTTGGCAAGGACATATGAACTTAATCCACAAATATTAGAGAACGTTGCAGCTGTAGGATACACAAAACCAACTCCTATTCAAATGCAGGCCATTCCAGCAATGATGCAAGTTAGTGTGAACTTTCACAAGCAGCATGTAACTTTTGTGTATTTTAATTTTATGACTTATTATGAGAACCACAGTAAAACAAACATAAAATGAAGTACCATGACAGTTTTTAGCTTTTTCATCCCCAACTTCCTCAAGCGTGATTATTTAGCCACCTGAGGTGTACAAAATTCACCAAACCAGAAGGGCTTTGTGAATACTGAAGCATGTTTAGTAAACTATTTTCAAGTATATAGAATTATTTAACAGACATTTTTATCAATATTTTCTTATTTAGAGAAGGGAAATCTTGGCTTGTGCACCTACAGGATCTGGGAAAACTGCAGCTTTTATACTTCCCATCATGCATCATCTGAAGGAGCACCAAAAGAAGGGGTACCGAGCTCTTATACTGGCTCCGACCCGAGAATTAGCAAAGCAGGTCAGCCCTCATAGTAGAAACCTTGTCACACTCTTGATGATCATTTCTCATCTCTTTCTCACTAACAGAGATACATACTACATGTACTTGCCCTTCTGTCTTTCTGGAAAACCTTAATTCTCCACAAAGCATAAGATTCAGCTCAACAATAGAAATGATAATACACTCTACAAGTCAAAGTGGTATGCACACTTCCCAAGGAGGTTCATGTATTTATTGTGCCTTCTTGGCTTATTTTATCTCTCTCTCTCTCTTTCTCTCTCCATTACATTGTATTAATATTTTGACATCATCATCATCTTAATGTAAATTGCTCTCATAGTATTTGAAATTATAAAAAAGCCTCCTTTTTTAAAGATGAATTAAAATAAGAAATGACGAAGAAATTCTTTTTACGAAGACTTTTTTTCTTTCTACTAACAGATATACAGAGAATTCCTAAGGCTATCTGAGGGTGTAGGGCTTAAAGCACATTACATTAACAAGGCAACCACAGAAAAACAAGTCAGACAGTTTGGTAAGAATTTTTTATTTCCTTACAAGATAATGATTCAGCTGTGATTATAAATACTTTACCGACTTAAAACATTTTTGGAGAACACACCTGCGAGCAGTTTTCTCACCTTAACCTTTGATTAAAAAGGACTCTAGCTCAAATGAACCATGTTCCAAAGCTAGTTTTGTTTTAATATTGATATTAACATGTTTTGCATTTAATTTTTTAATCCTGTGTGTCTGTCAGATTTTTCTTCACATGTTTTGAGATAATGCACATTCCACAATCAAGTTTGATTCAGAGCATCTGTAGATATTTAGGAACTTTTTTACTTGGGGGAACCATCACAAAAAGGGAAACGATCTTTCATTGAAAAGTGTACAAACTAAGGAGCCTCCCCTGCAAAGCATTATTATTTTGTAATAATGTGTAAATCATTCATTCATCTGGCCATTTTAACTTGATTCCATGACAAACATGCACACTTTATTTTCTATTACAGATGTTTTGGTTTCTACACCTAATAGATTAGTGTATATGCTTCAGCAAGAACCTCCCCATATTAATCTCAGTCAGTAAGTACTTTAGAACCTCTTTAAATCAGTCCCAGTCAGTATAAGTACTTTAGAACCTCTTTAAATCAGTCCCAGGCAGTATAAGTACTTTAGAACCTCTTTAAATTAGTCCCAGTCAGTATAAGTACTTTAGAACCTGGTAGTATATACATGCTGTTTTTGAATATTTTTGGCTTTGTATATCAAAAATACTAAATCAGTCCCAGTCAGTATAAGTACTTTAGAACCTCTTTAAATGAGTCCCAGTCAGTATAAGTACTTTAGAACCTTCTCACATTATTTTTTATTCAAGAGGATCACCAATTATTCCTGACACTATATTTTGGAGATACTGTATATACAGAAATTTTCAACCACATTTTATGGGCAAATTTAAAGATGGATAAATTCAAGTAAGCACTAATACAAATACAATTTTATCTTAATCCTTTTAATTTTAGATGGAGCAACATTTTTTTATATGTCTGAGGGGAAAAAAATAACATAAGGCAAAAACAGTCCTGTAATTAGTACACTGTAGTAAACTGCCCCTCTTGATCAATAATTGTGAGTGTGAATAAGTCATTTTTTCTTATAGAAAAGAAAAGTTAAAGTTTCTCTACATGAATTCAAAACATTTCTTGATGATTTTAGTGTAGAGTGGCTGGTGATTGATGAATCTGATAAATTATTTGAGGATGGAAAAACAGGCTTTAGAGAACAGGTAAATTTTCTTTTTTTTCAAGAAAAGATTTTATTATTGTGTCTATCATCAAGAGGCATACTCAATTCTTTAAAAATGCTTACCGTAAATCTGGAAATTTTTGTTGTAGATAAATTTTTAGCAAATTTGCGAGTTCATTTCATTCGCAAAAATATTTTTCTTAAGAATAAATCACCAATAAGATAATGTAAACAAAGCAGTGGCCATTCGCAAAATTTTGAGACGTAAAAATTAATCAATAGCATTTTGACCCAAATTCGCAAAATAAAATCGACGTAAAAATTTCCAGATTTACGGTATTTTCGGTAGTTTTTATTTGGAAATTTTTACATAAAAACTTCACTTGACCTAATTTTTATCTGGCTTTTCAGTTGGCTAAGGTTTACCAAGCTTGTGACAGCAATAACGTAAAGAGAGCAATGTTTAGTGCCACTTTTGCCGTGGAAGTAGAGGAATGGTGTAAGCTGAACTTGGATAATGTTTTACAAGTTTACATTGGAGCCAAGTAAGTCACTGGATAAATGACTGCATATGTTTGATTCCTACAGGCACATAGCTGTATAACTGTAATTCTCAGCCTGGGACAGAAAATTTGGACAGAAATACCCATGAGTAGAGAGAACATTCTATCATTAAACGGATATTGTCCTACGGACCTGTTTTATGGTTAGGACTTGTCCTGAGACACAGTTAGATTATTCTAACTAATCAGGAAGCTAAAAACCCATCCATAGTTTAGAACCTTTGATTTAAAGAAATCAATTTTTTTGCATCGTTCAGGTATTATTTCTATCATTATACATTTGAACTTGAATACCAATAGTTATACCCCACTTGAAAAGTGGGATGATATATACCGGTAGTGATCGAGACATCTGTCTGTCTGTCCATATGTACATCCATCCGTCTATTTGTTACTCTTTGGGGTACCCATCTCTTATCTGCAACTCCTCCTATACCACTGAATAAAATTCCATGATACAATTACAGCTTATTTATAATATAGTGCCATTGTGCACCTCCTAATTTTACTTTTGATATGACACTTATTTTGGGGCTCCCAGAGTAAAACATGGACTTTGCCATTATAATCATATGGGAGGTGGAGGTATCATTTAGTTAGTTCATTGCTCACAGTACCTTTAGTCTAGAATACCATGGATATGTCCAAGCAATAATTTTATATTATATGTAATACATTTATATATATTCTTTTGTAGGAATTCTGCTACAACAACCATTGAACAGGAATTAAAATTTGTGGGAACAGAAGCTGGGAAATTATTGGCTGTCCGAGATATTATAGGAAAGGTAAACTATGCATAGTATTTGTGGTGGTTGTGATATATAAGATAAATTTGATAACTTGTGTCTTTTTGACTGTGTCACTAACTTAAGACCTAAGGCAAGGATAATTTGAAGGTCAGGGGTCAAAGAAACTTCATATTACACAGTATTACCCTTATCTGGTTTCAACATAATAGGTCAGGGTCAAATTTTATTTGATATATGATGTCCATTAAGTTTATTATGTTTCTTCTATTCAGGGAGTGCAGCCTCCAGTCCTGATATTTGTACAGTCAAAGGAGAGAGCACGAGAACTCTTTCATGAATTGATTTATGACGGCATGAATGTAGATGTTATACACAGTGATCAGACTCAGGAGCAGGTAACTCTATCGTTCCTAACAATGAATACAAAAAGTAGCTAATTCTTGCATGAATTATTCAAATTTAACTTTTAATAAATGTTTCATGAATTATTCAAATTTCAACCTTAATTCTTGGATGAATTATTCATATTTTATCTCTCAGGGTGTGAAAATAGATTCATTTCCCTTATCCAGCTATAATTTATGATATGCAAATAATAGAATAATTTATGCTTTATGTAAATATTTACACTGTATATTTTTTTTATTCCTAGAGAGATAGTGCAGTTACAAATTTCCGCTCTGGAAAAACCTGGATATTGATTTGCACAGAGCTGATGGGAAGAGGAATTGATTTTATTGGCGTTAATTTGGTTATTAACTACGATTTTCCCAACAGTGCTATTAGTTACATCCACAGAATAGGTAAATAATTAATGTAAACAATAAATTTTTCCCAGAAGAAAAAGGGATTAAACTGTAGGCAAGAGTGTTTATTTAAAGCCCCACCCTTCATACATGTATAATGATGAATTACTGGCTGACTCTCAAAGCATTCTGATTATTACAAACTAGAATCAAATGAAAAGTAATGTTTTATTAAAATTTCAAATATGATGCTTTTGTGGAAGAAAAGTGTATATTTTTTATTTCTTTACAATAAAATGATTTCAAAGCATGAAAGTACTGTAATTATTAAATATTTTTTAGAAATGAAAAGTAAAGCAAACTTGAAGTAGCAATACAAGATATTTACCAATTTTTTACCCTTGGAATGAACAGAAATTTTGGTTCCATGGATTTATGACCCTGTGGAAAAAAGTGCAATAAATAACAATAGTTTCTTTTTTCTTTTATGAAATAATATTTGATTTTTGATGGGACTTGTTATGCTGCATAGATCATGTTTTTGACATTTTTCTTTTGACTGTTGTTTTAGGCCGCACTGGTCGAGCGGGGAGATCAGGAAAAGCCATCACGTTCTTCACAGAAATTGACTCTGTTTACCTCAGGAGGTAATTTTCTGTCTGTCTAAAATTGAAGTGTGTGAGTTATTACAAGGATGTATTTCATATTTTGAATGTATACAGGTACCATTTACAAGGGTTCATGCATGAAATATGGAGGTAATGAACAGTTTTCAAGTTCAGAGTTCATTTAATTAAACAATACAAATTGGGAGCATAGCAAACACAGACCTCCAAAAATGTCAAAGGTGAGATCAGGTGCTTACAAAGTGTTACTAAAAATACAGACAAACTTCTTCACCTCATACTTCATTGGGTTGAGATAAAACTTTGTGGGGATTCTTGAATTTAGAGTTAAAGAAGGAGTCATTGGGAATCCTAGCTCACTTTGACATGTCTACGGTTATTTTAGATATCAATGTTTGAGGTCCCAACATTCAAGAGCATATGATTAGTATATATCAGTACAGTTTTATACATATTACATATTTTCAAAGTTTATTGTAATAATTTAAATTTTGAGACTTTTGTGTACTTGCAAAATTGTTTAATACTTGGACACACGAAGAAATCGTCTGATAAGGAATAAGTAGGTTTTACTAAATAAGACAAAGAAAAGAGTGCTACATTTATCTTCATAAAAAATGGGATCAAGAGTGGTTGCTGAAATCCATAGAAATTTATTTGTTCAAACCATCTATTAGTAAGTGTATTTGGTAGCAAATGTTGGTGAATTGCTTTTTTTTGCATTTCAGTATTGCAAGAGTAATGGTGAATGCTGGGTGTCCGGTGCCAAGTTATATGTTAGACATAAGACGTCCAAACAAGTAAGACTTGCTTTGAAATAAATTTAAGATTTACTCTGCACAAAAATAATTTCTTACAGTTCCATGTTTCTTATTGAAATGCTTTTTAATTATTACTAATAAAATTTAAAGTGAATTTATAGTTGGACAAAGCAAACTTTTGGAAGAGAGAAACACTGTTGAGATTAAAAAAAAAACTACTAGTATATTACTTCACAACGTCATTGTATAGAACATAAAATATATCATTTGGCCAAAAGAAAATTTGATCAAATTTTTTTGGCAATTGTACATAGCTTTACATAAAAAGATAAAACTTGTTTTTTTTATGGTGGCTTTCAGAAAAGTAAGGAGAGCAGCAAAAAGAGTTCCCAAGCGAGACCGGATATCAACTGTATCACAGTATGACATTGATAAAATAAACAAAAAAAGGTTTGCAATTTTTCTTAAAATTTAACTCTTAGGTTCAAATAATATTTATCTGATTTTTATGGAACTTGTAACATGGCTTATTAGACTTCCATATAAGAAACTGGGAGTCAACCCTTCTGAGGGCTTCATAGTCCAAAAATTGTCATGCTAAATTACTCTGTGTGCTTTTATATGTTATATTTTACAGTTTCTGAGTAATAGGCTGGTGTTATGGATATTCGCATGACTACATGTACCACAATTCATTTTGTAGGAAATATACTTCAAAAGACAAAGGTAGACCAGTGAAACGAGTAAAACTGAAAAAAGATCAGAATAAGAGTTGAGTTGGACAACTGCTCTGTTGGAATCAATGTAGAGCCAAGGATTTGGGTTTAATGGTGTTGAATTTTCATTACTACCTACTGGAACTTTTAACAAGACTGTTATTAGAGGAAATACATAACCTTGAAAATACAGTAACTATCAGGAAATAATGCATTTCAGATGTTTAAATTACATGTAAATGGAAGTACACCTGAGGTTCCAGTGGGTCCATCAGAGGTGGAATCAAGTTGTGTTTATATATTAAAGAAATTAATCCTTAAAAATCTTTTTTAAATTCTGTGAAATGTATGAGATAAATGTGTACAAGGTTATAAGTAACAGAAATTTTTTTATTCTAAAACTAGGAAATTGGTGTTTTCAGGTCAGAGGTTTGCAAAGGTGATTATTTGATGAAAAGGCAACCTCAAAAAATTATTAAAATTTTCTTTCTTCATATAGTTCTATGAACGAGGACGATCTGGGTTCAGGATAATAAAGAGAATTACACTTGTACTGTTGTACAATAAATGCCAGTACTGTCAGGTTCATCTTCCATGGTTGCAGAATTTCCCAGGCTCCTAGAAGAAACTGAATTTGATCATGTGTTCAAAAATACATGTAATTTTTTTTTTTTACCTTTTTAATTGATATCGACTTCTAAGTACACTTGTACTTTAGATGGGTGTAGTAATGAGCAATATGTCTACTACTCAAGTATTAGTAGTGTGAAATTCAATTCCCCATTTCCTTGATCACTTGATAAAGTGTCACAGTCTCCAAGACGTATGCATAATCCTGAGAAAAAAATGCCATATCCTTCTTTGGTGGTTATTAATTTGTTTTTGTCCCTTGAAATGTTTTTGCAACTTAATTATTTCTATGCTCCCGGATCGATAGATCCGAGGCGTCTATTGTTTTTGTCCTGTCTGTATGATTGTTTGTCTGTTATCAACTTTAACCTTCGCCATAACTTTTATACCATGAGAGATAGAGACTTCATATTTGGTATGCATACTCCACTAATAGTAATTTAGTTCTTTCAAATGATATCTAGGTCAGTGACCTTGTGACCTTGACTGTGACCTATATGCTAAAAATAGCTTTTTTGAACTTTCGCCATGCCTTTTGAAGCATCAAAGATACAGACTTCATATTTGGTATGCATACTCCAAAAATTAAGATCTTTCAAATGACACCAAGGTCAATGACCTTGACTTATATGCTAATTATAGCTTTTCTTAACTTTGTTGCCATCGTGTTTCACATACACATCTTGTTTTCTTAATTTGATGGTGGTTTGTGCAATTTTGCTTAAATGATGATCCACATAACATTGAACCTTTTTGCATCATTTTGCTACCCAACTGTAGAAATGGGAAAAAAGAACTCATTTTTGTTTTTAAACAGATTTCCTTTTTAAAAAAATTTGAAAATTTAACTACAACTTATTATAAATCAAATTTCTAATGTAATTTTAAAATTTACTTATTTCTTTGCAACCATGTTATGACTACTATTAGGCTGCTGATCTAACTGTCTATTCCAAACTGTTCACTCTGTGTGAAAACATTAGGAATACTTCTCATTACATAATGCTTGTAAAATGCTTCCGATGAACCAACAAATGAACTTTGTGCTTCAGCATTGCTCATACAGCTATACTCTAAAAGCTGATCATGAATTGCTGGCACTGAAACAGGAAATAAACAATCAAACAAAACCATGACAAGCTAATTTATTTTTTGTTATCAATGGCACAATACATAAACAACCAACTTATATAAAGCAGCACATCGCTGGGGGTGAGGATTTAATGTTATTGCACTATTTATAAAGGTCTTACACTGATTACTACGTTGCTGTAACTCAATAACCATGCACAAATTCTAAGCCAAAAAAATTATGATGCTTTACACAGGTGCCAATTCCTGTTGACACAAACCCCAAACTCTATATGTAAGGGAAAGAGACATTGAGATTTGTACCTGTAAATAAGTTTCTTGAAAAATTATATTGGTACATGTATTTGTATTATATATAAAGATCCTTAAGGCTTGTTGACCCTTTGATAAGAGAGATAACTCTCAGTTGCCTGATACAACATAGTTACCAGTAATATTTCTTTAAAAACTTATGTTTCTGTCAATTTTTCCTTCTGCAAAATATGCTAAAATTGTGTGCATTTTTATTATAAATCGAACTTCTTCCAGTAAAATCATTCTTAAATATTTTTAAGCAAAATCTTGTATGAATGAAGAGAGGGGATAACATACCTTAAAACCTCCACTGTCTGGCATAAGTACAGTCTACTTACAGCATGATTTGTATGTTTACAAATTTAAAATTACATGCTCAATTTTTTGCATCACATCAAGATGTCTATTTATACATATGTAGCTAGATTTATATGTTTACGAATAATTCTGAATTTAAACAAAATGCTCAAATTTTGCATTGCATCCAGTGGATGTGATCAGTATCATGCTCCTAGAAAGAGATGCAAAATGAGACAAAATTTTGAAAGTGACAGAGAAATGAAAATCTTAAAATTTAGTTTTAGCTTTTTTGCAGTCCACTTGAAGTTTTTCTAAATTCTTTTTGACACAAGTGCATATTTGACATCACCATACTGAATTCTTGTATTGAAGGAAATTAACACTAGAAGACAGGGAAGCAAGCTTAAAGGAAATACAAATCCACAATGAGTGGGTAACTGTAAAGCAAAAAATAGCACTGAAACATTTTTTTTCCAAGTAAAGTACAACATGTACAAGGAATATTATGAAATTGAGGAAATATGCTGACATGTACAAGATGGAGTAAACAAGAAAAATATTTAAAAAAAAAAAAATCTTGGTACAGTCCATTTGTATTTAAAATTTCAAAAGCCTCATTAGAGGAAAATTCTGCCACACATAATTATATATATATAAATGTATACCTTACACTTGGCCATTCTGAAAATAAAGATTTCCTAAAAATATATAAATGCTTTTGAGTCCTAAACCTCTCATGCTTGTAGATCTATATGTGCATTATACATCATCATGTATCACAAATTACTTGGCTGTAAGCAGATCAAATGTTTTTAATTCATTAACTTTGATATTGACCAATCTTTAAAATGAAGCCAAGTCATATGGCTTAATGACCAAAAAAAAAAAAACTTTTTGAAATTTCTCAGAACATGTCATTTTCATAATTGCACAAACTGTTTGTTTTGGTTAAATTACACATCACCTTCATTTAATAATGCTTGATTTTAATGATATGTTCAAACAATTCAAAAATACAATAATAGTAAGGGGAATACCAGCACTACCCTATATCAAATATATTATACATTAGTTGCTTGCCAACATTTTAATTAAGTTCATTAAAGAAGAGACAAGGCAAGATGTCTCATGCACAAAACAATCCCAAGTTTCTAGGATTAGATCATGAACTAATTGAATATAAACTTATTTTTGACTAATGCCCAAAATTCTCTCTCTGCCACAGTCAATAAAATGCTCTAACTAATGTAAACAATTTCTTCCAAATATACCCTTGAAAATAAGGGTGCAAGAAACATTTTATTTTAATTCAACAAACATGATATAAAAATAATTTTACATGCTGCTGAAATCTACTTTACACATGAAAAAAACATGTCAACTATGCACTAGTCTAAATAACTGGGTACAATCAAAACTGGACACAAAGTGTAATGCCTCTTCTAACTTCGAACTTTGAAGAAAAAGACTTTCTAAGCCATGTCATATCTTCGAGTGCGTATCTTTTGCCTGTAATGATAGTACCTCATGTAGTCTCGCAACTGACGAGGAAGGGGCAGAATGTTAATGTCATCATACGATATCCGGTCACAAATAATCGATCTACACATGTGCTGAAGACTAAAAGGAAATGTACGATGCAGAGGTGTGGTAAGCATTGGTTCAAAAAACATACAAACGCTGGCATCTTTATAATGTTCAATCAGTCCACACACAGTCTCGGAGGCAAAGACGCCAGGATCGTGTGAATCGAAGCTGAATTTGTGATTCCACTGTTCGACCCTTGCGTGCAAGGAACGGCCGTAGCGTCGGAAACTGACAGAAAACAGGTACTCCTCTTGTGCACTGTCTCTAAGCAAAAAGGTTCCCTCTGGCTTTTTATCCAGTAGCTTTTCAGCCTGGTAGCGATCCATTACACCCCAGTAGTAGCTGCAGTTTGTAATGCTGGCGATATCTGGGACCAGACAGTGAATGAAATCCACTTGGGAATGTGGGCGGACAGTAGGGGGAGGAAGATTGTTGGAATGTGTGGGTAGCATTGAGAAGGACCCGTAGGGCCAGGACTCGGGAAATGAGGAGTAACTGTTTCTTTGTGGTGAGGGTTGAGGGCAGTCATATTCCTCATCTGATGAGGATTCGACAGGTTGAGGAATGAGGATACAGGCACTCTGTACATCTATTCCCTCCTCCATTTCTTGCGCCCTCTGGCGGATTCTTCTCTGATCGATGTCCTCAGTGGGGTATAGTTCATCATAGTTTATAGGGCGTAGAGTTACAAACACTTCCTGAGGTTGTGCTGAAGCACCTGCACTTTGTTCCGCACCGCTCTCATTTTCATCTGAAGGCTTTCTGTATGAAGTGCACACGATGCCCCCTGCAGAGTCACTTTCATTTGTATTGTACGTGGATCTTTTGGGGACATGCAGTTTACCTCTTAGTTTCAGTGTCCAGAATTTCTTGCGTCCTTCATTGTTTTTCTTGCGTCTGTTTTGCGTCTTTTTGGATAGAGATAAATTTGTCATGAGGTCTAAGCCATCGTCACAGTCTGACTGATCCGATGCCTCAATGAAATCTGTTATGCTATTTAAAGACAGTTGACTACCACAGCAGAAAAAGGGCCTTACTGAGGAGCGATGAAGTCTGTGTCCCCCCAAATTATTAATGGGCAGATCCCTTCTTGTGTTATTATTCACCGGTAGCAACTTCTCCGAGCTATTTCCCGCAAAGTCACCATCTGAAAGAAATACGAAAAATTGTGTCATTGAGAAAACAATTGATGCAAATTACTTTTTAAGACTTGGAGTATAGTACTAATGCTAAGCTTTCTATATCACTACAACCTCCAACGCCTCTAAAATTTACGGTTTTAACAAATTGAGTAAACATTTGACATTTTAAGTATAGATGTATTGTAGAAAGTACTAGCTTTAAGTTTTACAAAAAATATTGAACCTTACAATACATTCACGAAGATTTATTGGCTATCGGCAAGCATGCATGCATGCAAATTCAGTTTGGAAAAGACCCAAAGAAAAACTGGTAGCCATATTAATTATAAAATAAGATTTACAGCTAAATGTGGTCTATATAAATGACTCTAAAATAAATCATACATATGCATTAAAAAAGTTAATGTAAAACACTGTAACCAAAAGATGGAAGGATATATATTAAATATATGTAAACAAAGAAAATGGCCTTGTGTGCATCACCATTTCGTCAACATCAAAGATAATGAAGGTAGCACTTTTTCACTTTAGATATGACTGACAACAATGCTATATATCTATAAATTATCAAAAAAATTTTGTAATCATCTTTTTACTTACCTTGAGACATTTTTAATGCCTTTTTTCTAAGGTGCAGGCATCGCAACAGGAAGTTATGAGGAGTGGAGGTGTGATGTCATATTCTAATCATGTGGGCGCCCACTCTATTCGTTGCCAGAAAAGTCAAGCCCACGTTATTCCAAAAAAACTCATAAAAAATATTATATAAAATGTTATGCTTTCTGCGGAACCCCAACAGGGAATCTGATATAAAAAGGAAAGTGTCTGAGAAGTCTTTCTGTTAGAAAATTAAACGTATGTCTAAACTAAAGACCTTTATTGAATGATAATAAAATGAAAAGAAACTGAAATAAATAAATTTAAAAAATTCATATGAACAACGTTCAAGGAGTATTGTAACGGTAAATTTTTCTATTAAAGCAAAAAGTTCCTTGTAAAATCTTATGAGTATTGTTTAAAGTAATTTAATTTATCCTTAGATCATCTATAACAGTAAAGGGGGCTGGGGGTGGGGCTAGACATGATAAGATGACGGGTGGATGGGTAAAAGCCATACATCTGTATTTATCATTTATAAATGATCTTCATTATATATATTTCAATGCTAAGTTACATATTCGGTGAAGTTTTATTTTAAATTTATTTTAAAGAATTGTTTATTATAGTCAGCATTTCGGCCAAATTTTAAAAAAGGGGGGGGGGTGATGTCATTTTTACTGTTTGAAAATTTTTGATCCGTGACTATATTCCAGTTTCGTTTGCATTGTTCACATCAAAATGTTTGGCATTTTCTAGGAAAATGGGAAGGATACAGGATACAACTATATAACTAATATAAGAGACATGTTCTTTGGTCGATACAGTGGCCTTGTTAGCAAATAACAATTTAGCATTGAGTCCGTGTTTGGTCTTCTCCTGATTTGTTTTTTTTTTCTGGACTTTTGATCTTGAAACCTTACATGATGTATTACTACTCAAAGTTGAAGTTACAAAATAATATTCATTTCTTTTATTTTATTTTTATGCGCCGGGATCGAAAGATCCGAGGCATATAATGTTTTTGTCCTGTCTGTCTGTCTGTTTGTCTGCAAACTTTAACCTTCGCCATAACTTTTGAACCATGAATGATAGAGACTTCATATTTGGTATGCCTACTCCACTAATAAACCCCTTTCACATGACACCAAGGTCAATGACCTTGTGACCTTGACCGTGTCTTATATGCTAAAAATAGCTTTTTTGAACCTTCCCCATAACTTTTGAACCGTGGAAGATAGAGACTTCATATTTGTATGCATACTTCGCTAAACAAGATCTTTCAAATGACACCAAGATCAATGACCTTGTGACCTTGACTGTGTCATATGCTAAAAATAGCTTTTTTGAACCTTCACCATAACTTTTGAACCATGAAAGATAGAGACTTCATATTTGGTATGCATACTTCACTAATCAAGATCTTTCAAATGACATCAAGATCAGTGACCTTTTGACCTTCACTGTGACCTTTATGCTAAAAATATGTTATTTTTTAAATTTGTTGCAGCCGGGCGCATAGTGTTTCACAAACACATCTTGTTTTTTTTTTTTTTTACTTTGAACCCATGAAAAAGTGAAGAAAGAGCTACTGTAGATTTTAGTTACAGATAGATATTTTAATCTCGATCCTTTCTTGTGCACAATAAATAAATAAACAACAACTAAAAAACTTTTTAAAATTTGAACGGGAAATTACTGAATGAACCGAAAGAATTTTTTTTACCTTATCCAGCCTAATTCATTTAATTTGTATTCAGATGAACCTATGGGAAGAGTTTTTTTAAAAATGTATTCTTTATCTAAGTGTGTTTTTTCTACGGATTTATATATCTAGGGAATACATGGATACATATAAAACAGTAATTAAGATGTAATGTCTCAAAGAAATTCGTTTCTGATTTCAATATTCTTATGTTGAAAAATAGTTAAAATTCTAATAAGAAAATTATGATTATTTTAGTTTACAGGAATTATATATTTGACCCCCCTCCCCCTCTCTCTCTCATTTTTCAAGAATACATATACTTAACTAGGTATAGTTAAGGACATAGTAAGCTCTAGTGAAGTCAGTAGGCAATGCCGGGGAGACCTCTACTAGTAAGTCTCAGGGCCGCTACGGTTATCGGACTGGCTGCTGACAGAAGAGCTGAAAACTTCCCTTTTTAACCTTTTAACCGTTTTTACATTTTAATCTTTCTAACAATGTTGTCAAAGCGCTGCGCCGTTGAGTAATCGTCAAAGATGACGGACCAACGTACGATGTAGATGTAGATGTAGAAAGCAATTTCATTTGCGGGAAATATGAGGGCAACGGCCTTATAGAAATGAAATTAACCTAGAACATATTTTTTTACTATATGAAACATTACATGTAAACAAGCTCTCATTCATGGGTATGGCAGAGCCCTCAATAACGAGACTTGTTTTCTACGGTAAACTTTACATTGGCAAAATTACTGGGGCACTCCAACGTTTTTACGAGCTTAAAAAAAGCATCGGGATCGTGAAGCAGAATAAATAATTTTGGCGCGCTCATCAAAACGAGAGACGAGTGGAAGTTCTGAAAATTAATTAATAATAAGATTTAAGCAACTATGCCATCGTGCTCGCCGCTGCGATACGCTCACAGCGAGGGATTAACAAGTCTTTGTTATGATGATAAGGGAAAGTAAGTCAGAAAATTGCCAATCTATATAATGTAATATTTTTACAATGTAAGTATGTTAATTTCTGTTGTCACTGTCTGCACAAGGGTGAACCATTACTGCCCTGTAGACTTGTTTTCCTCTGTATCCTCATGACAAAGTTTCATGAACAAACTGTGTAAATTTATCCTATAAGATATATTTTGACCTGTACCTCTGATCATAAACAAACTGTTATTGAATACTTTCAGGTATATTTTGACCTGTGGTTCTGATGGAGATGTCAGAATATGGGAGGGGGCGGAGGATGATGATGCAATCTCCCATCGAACTGGAGACAAAGCCTTCAGTGTCGCATTCAAGGTAAGTCATTATCACCTTTCTTGTGACTAACGCAAATTAAGTCGGAGACGACGGTGGAGGTCCCAGGAAGAGTTATCTTTTCTTTGCAAGGGACGGACTCCCTGGAACAGAGATCACCTGTTGAAGCTGTTCTCATTTTCATCACTGCAAGGCTTTTAGATAGACAGTATAAGAGATCAAGCTAAGATTTTTAAAATTATTAAGCTGTTAAATATTTGTAACACTCAAGATATGAAATGAAGGTGCAAATGTTATGAGAGTAAAGAGTAGTAATAATATGCTCTCCCAGATGCAACATCATATTAAGTTCTTAGCCTGAAACATCTACTGTAAACCAACTTTTATTCGCGTGCGAGTAATTTTTGCGATATTCATGAGAGCCTCTTCATTGCGAATATTTCTTGCCGCGAACCCGTCCTTAAGGTGAATGTGCCTATTAACCTGGTAAATCGCGATATAAAGTCGTCGCGAATAAAAGTTGGTTTACAGTATTTAAGATTGATTTACATACAAGGATTTTTACTTTAATCTTTTGATGTTGAGCTGAGTCACTAATTATTTATTAATTAAGAAATGATTTGAAAATTACAAATGAGATTTTTTCATATTTTTTTCTGGTCATTTATTGCAGAATAACAAGTTTTATGTTGCTACTGACACAAACACGGTACAAGCGTTTACTTTCCCCGATGGTTCTACAGATGGTATCGTGGCCAGATTTACTGCCCCCGTCAACCACATCAGTGTAAACCAAAAAGGAACAACTTTGATCGCAGGGTCAAGGTAACCTTAACTGTCCTTAAGCAGGAAGGTTGAGAAATTGGAATTACATCTTGTAGATGAAAAGAACATTTTGATAATTATGAATAATAGAGAAACAAGGAGATGTGTGTTGTCTTATGGAGAATTCTAAATCGTATTTTTTTTTATCATTAATAAAGAGAAATTTAATGCAATGTTATGTATGGAATAAGAACTATTCATTGGGAAATTTCAAATATTTGAATTATCTGGGTGCTCTCTGAAAATGAAATGTTGTATACAATGTATAATTGATTTATTATTAATTATCACCTTTGTTTGAGTTCCATTTCCTACTAACATTTAAATTGGACAATGTTTTTGCCATGTCATTAAACTGTACAGTATGTATTTAACAGTTTTGTGATTTTTTTTTTTTGCTTTCTTTACATTTTATTCATAAAACATGATATAAACCCTTTGTAAGCTTCCTCAGCACCCTGTCAAATGCCAATCAGCTTACAATGTTTCCATCCCGTGTAAATTCAGTTAATTATATTTTATATCAGGACTACTCATGACATCCGTCCACATAATAAAAGGGGGGGGGGCATCCTCAGCCCATCGCATGTATTTAAACACCCTTGATAATTTACTTCACATTCCTGTAAATCATAACCAAGTTCCATTTCTCGTTTCAAATATTTCATTTAATAAAGACTTCAAAGTTCAATGAAATATAACAAAACAGTCAATACATCTATGAGTATATAAAGTCCTAGCTTAACATCTCTGGCCTAATAAAATACAGTGGATTGCGGTGTCCGTGCGGTGGAGAAATTATACGCTACTTATTTTGTATTAGTTTACATTATTTTCTCATACCTAAGTCGCTAGTAATTTACAGTCAGTGATGTTGATGACGTAATACGATCTGATCGTTATGATCGTTGTGATGAAACTGGCGTTCGCTGCTCATATATATAACCTTCCATAAATGGTCACGTGATCACAACAACCAATGAATAATTGTCCTTTCTGGAGCAACTCGGAACTACTTTACATACATTTTGTGTAATACAAAGAAAATAACATCGCTCAAAATGTCCTTTCTACATGTAAAGTGGGAGCTATAAATTCTATTCGATATACATTAGAAAACAAGTTCAACAAACAATCTGTAATAAAACGGACACACACAATCCATGGCGTAGTAATACCGAACAATAATGCAAACACATAAGTATTACGCTACACATTCAAGTTCCAAAACATTTCGTCAAATACAGCATAATTAAATGACAATACTGCAATAAAATAACATTTAAGTATCAATTATGAATATTTGAGGACACGGACAGTGTTATTTCGATCTTATCAATTGTAAAACAACAATGTTTATGTCACATGACTAATTTCTTCGTAAGAAAGATGGCAGGCGCCCAATTTACAACACATGTGATAATGCTGAAATAAGTAAGTAAATTACAGTCGTAATATGGTAGATAATGATGAAAAACTGACATACAACATCTCAGTATCACTGTCCCTTACTGTCTGTTCAACAATATCTCGCTAGATCGTCTAGTAACACAAAAACAGCATTTGTTTACATTAATACAATGTCGAAGTGCAATGTGTATTGCATCAATAATTCAAGTAAACAATAAGATAATGAAATAACATCAACAATAAAACATTTCTTATAGATTTACAACTGGATGCTACTTTACTTCACTTACAAACACTTCACCATCAGCCTGTGATTAATTAATATGCAATATTCTAAAGTCCAACCCCCATGCATATTACACTTCCCCCCACTTAAAAAGTCAAATTCTCCTGAATTTACAGTATTAATCAAAATCGTCTGGTTCTGCTAGTTTCTTACTTCCATCATCAATGAAATCTTTATTCTTCCTGCACTGGACCGCTTCTTTCGGTAAATCTCACACATCTGCCTGCTCGTCTGATACCATTTCAGCTACTTCTGTCTCTATCTCACTGTCTCGTCTCTCTGCTACTTCTGTCTCCATCTCTCCGTCTCGTCTCTCTGCTACTTCTGTCTCCATCTCTTCGTCTCGTCTCTCTGCTACTTCTGTCTCCATCTCTCCATCTCGTCTCTCTGCTACTTCTGTCTCCATCTCTACGTCTCCACCATGAAAATACACCATCCATCCCATGTATAAAGTATACAGCTCCCTGTGCATAAGCTAGTACAAGATTTGGATTATTCTTGTTAGAATTGAATGCATGTAGTTGATAAAGGTAGGTTCCTATGGGAATCAGTCAGTCAATCAGTCGGGTCTTATTCTTCATTGTTTTTGTAGATTCCTCCCAGGATCAGGAAGTGACATCAATTATCCATTTATAATTTTATTCCAGTAGTAGATTGAAATCAACAAAAGTATCAGTCCGGCCCAGCCCTAGACAACTGTTTCCCATCAGTCCCGTCTAATCCTAGACAACTGATGTCCATGCACCTACAGTCCGGCCCAGCCCTAGACAACTGAGGTCCACCTGCAGTCCGGCCCAGCCCTAGACAACTGAGGTCCTAATGTGCACTAATAGTAATGGCCAGTCACTATCTACACATTCACCTAGTGTGGTGCACCACCTAGGACAACATCCTTCATAGACATGTGTCAATATAATAAAACAAAAAATCTGGTATCATCATACTACTGTCTGACATCATTTAATTTTGTGGTATGAACTTCCTGAACCAGGGTTGTAAGTTGATGCCTTGATATATCATCAACCTATCCTATAAATTAAGTCAAGTCATCTGGTTGTCCTGTTACAAGGTCCTTTTCATTTTGAAGTTAATACAGCAAACCCATCCTTTGGCAATTTATCTTTGTGATGTAGTTAAGAAGAAAGTCCTTTCCAAAGATCCTGTCTTGTGAAATTTTGCAAATTCCAAATTTGTGTGGCAATGCTTCTTTCCCAAAAGATACATCCAGTACAATGGTCCTGATGTTCTCTATTAAATTCCCATTTACATCCTGAATGTCAGAGGTTGCAGGCTGTATGTTAGAGCTAGTTTCCTTTGAGAGTTTAATAAAATTTTGAACGAAATAATCCATGCAGTAGATCCACTATCCTAGAAAATGTATTGTTTTGTCAAATATGTTTCCTTTGTATAAAATCCATTGTCCCATGAGAGAGTTATATCCCCTGTGTGGCCAGTCCTAGTATATTCATTTCCAACAGAAAAACATTCCTCTTGTGCTAACTCCTGACTTAATGATATCTGTTATCTCTCATGTTTCCACTGCCATGTCTCCTATTCAGGTTAGAGGTCGTGGTCTGTTGTCCTCTTGTCCATCGGTCTGGGCAGTCCTTCATGAGATGATCTGGTGAATTGCAGATGAAGCAAGTCCAAGAGTTATTGCCCTTCCGAGGTTCCATTCTCTGTGCACTTTCCAGTTTCTCTAATCTATTGATTAGTAACTTGATTGTATGTTCCAAGTTATTTGATTTTTCCTGTCCAGTTGGCCGTTTGACTTCTCTTTCTTGATCCACATACCTAACATTTGTTCTCTTTTTATCCCCATCCCCCATTATTGACTCATATCTCTCAATAACGTCTACAGCTTCTGCAACAGTGCTACACTCCTTATCAATACAACGACATTTCATTTCAACGGGAATAATTTTGTAAAGGTGGTTCAGGGCCAGTGATTCCTGAGCGTCAATATCCAAGTTACTATAAGCTTTTTGTGATAATTGCCGTATATCGTCTCCAACATCTGCAGTACTTTCTCCAGGCATCCTCCTACGCATTTCCAGTTTTGAAAGCCACCTATATTGTGCTTTGAACTACCAAATCTCTGGTCCATACGCTGAACAAGAATTTTAAACGTGCGCCTTTCCTCAAGTGTTAGGCTCATGTAGAAAGTCCTGGCTTGTCCTCGTAAGCTAGCGGCTAAGAAAAGAAGTTTGGTCCTGTCGTCCCAGTGGCTAAGTTCAGCGCAGTCTTGAAAGTGAGAAAAGTATTCCTCCCAACCTTCTTTTCCATTGTAGGGTTCGGGTTTGATCATAAGCGTAGAAATGCGATTGTGTTCACTATGTGCGTCGTCAGCTAACTGATAATCAGATCGCTGACGGAAATTATGTCCTACTTCGTCGTCGTCTTCACTGTCATCTCTTTCCATAGGATTTTCATTTGCCATTAAATATTCGTCATCAGTGTTCCTCCCACAGACATCTGTTTCGTCCCCTTGGCCTAACTGAACATTTTCCTTATGTTCATTTATAAATACTTCAGGATCCGGCGAAGTAGCATCCTCCATTTTTAACTATAAAAACAGTAACAAGAACATATGTACATCGTTATTTTAAAAATAGATTTTTTTTCCTCCACCACACGACAGTCCGCAATCCACTCTATTTCAGTACTTGACAGGTATTAAAGTACGGGTTCGTATCCTAGATGTCCTCGTAGATGGCAGGACATCCCACTTCTGACACCAAAAATTGTAAGCTTCCTCAGCACCCTGTCAAATGCCAATCAGCTTACAATGTTTCCATCCCGTGTAAATTCAGTTAATTATATTTTATATCAGGACTACTCATGACATCCGTCCACATAATAAAAGGGGGGGGGCATCCTCAGCCCATCGCATGTATTTAAACACCCTTGATAATTTACTTCACATTCCTGTAAATCATAACCAAGTTCCATTTCTCGTTTCAAATATTTCATTTAATAAAGACTTCAAAGTTCAATGAAATATAACAAAACAGTCAATACATCTATGAGTATATAAAGTCCTAGCTTAACATCTCTGGCCTAATAAAATACAGTGGATTGCGGTGTCCGTGCGGTGGAGAAATTATACGCTACTTATTTTGTATTAGTTTACATTATTTTCTCATACCTAAGTCGCTAGTAATTTACAGTCAGTGATGTTGATGACGTAATACGATCTGATCGTTATGATCGTTGTGATGAAACTGGCGTTCGCTGCTCATATATATAACCTTCCATAAATGGTCACGTGATCACAACAACCAATGAATAATTGTCCTTTCTGGAGCAACTCGGAACTACTTTACATACATTTTGTGTAATACAAAGAAAATAACATCGCTCAAAATGTCCTTTCTACATGTAAAGTGGGAGCTATAAATTCTATTCGATATACATTAGAAAACAAGTTCAACAAACAATCTGTAATAAAACGGACACACACAATCCATGGCGTAGTAATACCGAACAATAATGCAAACACATAAGTATTACGCTACACATTCAAGTTCCAAAACATTTCGTCAAATACAGCATAATTAAATGACAATACTGCAATAAAATAACATTTAAGTATCAATTATGAATATTTGAGGACACGGACAGTGTTATTTCGATCTTATCAATTGTAAAACAACAATGTTTATGTCACATGACTAATTTCTTCGTAAGAAAGATGGCAGGCGCCCAATTTACAACACATGTGATAATGCTGAAATAAGTAAGTAAATTACAGTCGTAATATGGTAGATAATGATGAAAAACTGACATACAACATCTCAGTATCACTGTCCCTTACTGTCTGTTCAACAATATCTCGCTAGATCGTCTAGTAACACAAAAACAGCATTTGTTTACATTAATACAATGTCGAAGTGCAATGTGTATTGCATCAATAATTCAAGTAAACAATAAGATAATGAAATAACATCAACAATAAAACATTTCTTATAGATTTACAACTGGATGCTACTTTACTTCACTTACAAACACTTCACCATCAGCCTGTGATTAATTAATATGCAATATTCTAAAGTCCAACCCCCATGCATATTACACTTCCCCCCACTTAAAAAGTCAAATTCTCCTGAATTTACAGTATTAATCAAAATCGTCTGGTTCTGCTAGTTTCTTACTTCCATCATCAATGAAATCTTTATTCTTCCTGCACTGGACCGCTTCTTTCGGTAAATCTCACACATCTGCCTGCTCGTCTGATACCATTTCAGCTACTTCTGTCTCTATCTCACTGTCTCGTCTCTCTGCTACTTCTGTCTCCATCTCTCCGTCTCGTCTCTCTGCTACTTCTGTCTCCATCTCTACGTCTCGTCTCTCTGCTACTTCTGTCTCCATCTCTCCGTCTCGTCTCTCTGCTACTTCTGTCTCCATCTCTACGTCTCCACCATGAAAATACACCATCCATCCCATGTATAAAGTATACAGCTCCCTGTGCATAAGCTAGTACAAGATTTGGATTATTCTTGTTAGAATTGAATGCATGTAGTTGATAAAGGTAGGTTCCTATGGGAATCAGTCAGTCAATCAGTCGGGTCTTATTCTTCATTGTTTTTGTAGATTCCTCCCAGGATCAGGAAGTGACATCAATTATCCATTTATAATTTTATTCCAGTAGTAGATTGAAATCAACAAAAGTATCAGTCCGGCCCAGCCCTAGACAACTGTTTCCCATCAGTCCCGTCTAATCCTAGACAACTGATGTCCATGCACCTACAGTCCGGCCCAGCCCTAGACAACTGAGGTCCACCTGCAGTCCGGCCCAGCCCTAGACAACTGAGGTCCTAATGTGCACTAATAGTAATGGCCAGTCACTATCTACACATTCACCTAGTGTGGTGCACCACCTAGGACAACATCCATCTTAGACATGTGTCAATATAATAAAACAAAAAATCTGGTATCATCAAACTACTGTCCGACATCATTTAGTTTTGTGGTATGAACTTCCTGAACCAGGGTTGCAAGTTGATGCCTCGATATATCATCAACCTATCCTATAAATTAAGTCAAGTCATCTAGTTGTCCTGTTACAAGGTCCTTTTCATTTTGAAGTTAATACAGCAAACCCATCCTTTGGCAATTTATCTTTGTGATGTAGTTAAGAAGAAAGTCCTTTCCAAAGATCCTGTCTTGTGAAATTTTGCAAATTCCAAATTTGTGTGGCAATGCTTCTTTCCCAAAAGATACATCCAGTACAATGGTCCTGATGTTCTCTATTAAATTCCCATTTACATCCTGAATGTCAGAGGTTGCAGGCTGTATGTTAGAGCTAGTTTCCTTTGAGAGTTTAATAAAATTTTGAACGAAATAATCCATGCAGTAGATCCACTATCCTAGAAAATGTATTGTTTTGTCAAATATGTTTCCTTTGTATAAAATCCATTGTCCCATGAGAGAGTTATATCCCCTGTGTGGCCAGTCCTAGTATATTCATTTCCAACAGAAAAACATTCCTCTTGTGCTAACTCCTGACTTAATGATATCTGTTATCTCTCATGTTTCCACTGCCATGTCTCCTATTCAGGTTAGAGGTCGTGGTCTGTTGTCCTCTTGTCCATCGGTCTGGGCAGTCCTTCATGAGATGATCTGGTGAATTGCAGATGAAGCAAGTCCAAGAGTTATTGCCCTTCCGAGGTTCCATTCTCTGTGCACTTTCCAGTTTCTCTAATCTATTGATTAGTAACTTGATTGTATGTTCCAAGTTATTTGATTTTTCCTGTCCAGTTGGCCGTTTGACTTCTCTTTCTTGATCCACATACCTAACATTTGTTCTCTTTTTATCCCCATCCCCCATTATTGACTCATATCTCTCAATAACGTCTACAGCTTCTGCAACAGTGCTACACTCCTTATCAATACAACGACATTTCATTTCAACGGGAATAATTTTGTAAAGGTGGTTCAGGGCCAGTGATTCCTGAGCGTCAATATCCAAGTTACTATAAGCTTTTTGTGATAATTGCCGTATATCGTCTCCAACATCTGCAGTACTTTCTCCAGGCATCCTCCTACGCATTTCCAGTTTTGAAAGCCACCTATATTGTGCTTTGAACTACCAAATCTCTGGTCCATACGCTGAACAAGAATTTTAAACGTGCGCCTTTCCTCAAGTGTTAGGCTCATGTAGAAAGTCCTGGCTTGTCCTCGTAAGCTAGCGGCTAAGAAAAGAAGTTTGGTCCTGTCGTCCCAGTGGCTAAGTTCAGCGCAGTCTTGAAAGTGAGAAAAGTATTCCTCCCAACCTTCTTTTCCATTGTAGGGTTCGGGTTTGATCATAAGCGTAGAAATGCGATTGTGTTCACTATGTGCGTCGTCAGCTAACTGATAATCAGATCGCTGACGGAAATTATGTCCTACTTCGTCGTCGTCTTCACTGTCATCTCTTTCCATAGGATTTTCATTTGCCATTAAATATTCGTCATCAGTGTTCCTCCCACAGACATCTGTTTCGTCCCCTTGGCCTAACTGAACATTTTCCTTATGTTCATTTATAAATACTTCAGGATCCGGCGAAGTAGCATCCTCCATTTTTAACTATAAAAACAGTAACAAGAACATATGTACATCGTTATTTTAAAAATAGATTTTTTTTCCTCCACCACACGACAGTCCGCAATCCACTCTATTTCAGTACTTGACAGGTATTAAAGTACGGGTTCGTATCCTAGATGTCCTCGTAGATGGCAGGACATCCCACTTCTGACACCAAAAATTGTAAGCTTCCTCAGCACCCTGTCAAATGCCAATCAGCTTACAATGTTTCCATCCCGTGTAAATTCAGTTAATTATATTTTATATCAGGACTACTCATGACATCCGTCCACATAATAAAAGGGGGGGGGCATCCTCAGCCCATCGCATGTATTTAAACACCCTTGATAATTTACTTCACATTCCTGTAAATCATAACCAAGTTCCATTTCTCGTTTCAAATATTTCATTTAATAAAGACTTCAAAGTTCAATGAAATATAACAAAACAGTCAATACATCTATGAGTATATAAAGTCCTAGCTTAACATCTCTGGCCTAATAAAATACAGTGGATTGCGGTGTCCGTGCGGTGGAGAAATTATACGCTACTTATTTTGTATTAGTTTACATTATTTTCTCATACCTAAGTCGCTAGTAATTTACAGTCAGTGATGTTGATGACGTAATACGATCTGATCGTTATGATCGTTGTGATGAAACTGGCGTTCGCTGCTCATATATATAACCTTCCATAAATGGTCACGTGATCACAACAACCAATGAATAATTGTCCTTTCTGGAGCAACTCGGAACTACTTTACATACATTTTGTGTAATACAAAGAAAATAACATCGCTCAAAATGTCCTTTCTACATGTAAAGTGGGAGCTATAAATTCTATTCGATATACATTAGAAAACAAGTTCAACAAACAATCTGTAATAAAACGGACACACACAATCCATGGCGTAGTAATACCGAACAATAATGCAAACACATAAGTATTACGCTACACATTCAAGTTCCAAAACATTTCGTCAAATACAGCATAATTAAATGACAATACTGCAATAAAATAACATTTAAGTATCAATTATGAATATTTGAGGACACGGACAGTGTTATTTCGATCTTATCAATTGTAAAACAACAATGTTTATGTCACATGACTAATTTCTTCGTAAGAAAGATGGCAGGCGCCCAATTTACAACACATGTGATAATGCTGAAATAAGTAAGTAAATTACAGTCGTAATATGGTAGATAATGATGAAAAACTGACATACAACATCTCAGTATCACTGTCCCTTACTGTCTGTTCAACAATATCTCGCTAGATCGTCTAGTAACACAAAAACAGCATTTGTTTACATTAATACAATGTCGAAGTGCAATGTGTATTGCATCAATAATTCAAGTAAACAATAAGATAATGAAATAACATCAACAATAAAACATTTCTTATAGATTTACAACTGGATGCTACTTTACTTCACTTACAAACACTTCACCATCAGCCTGTGATTAATTAATATGCAATATTCTAAAGTCCAACCCCCATGCATATTACACCTTATTGCTAAGAATAAATTAAAATTACGGAAAAATAATTTCAATAAATTCTTGAAAGTTGAAGAAAAATGGGCCTAACATTTTTAAATGTCATATTTCAGTGACTTTACAATCAAAATGGTCAACATTGCAACAGGGGACACTAAGAAATTTGAGGGACACGAGGCCCCTGTATTGAGTGTAGCTATGGACCCCAAAGAGGAGTTTCTGGTGAGTACCTCCCCCCCTTCCCCCCACAAGGGGATTCCTCCCACACAAATCTGTTATGGTCACTGATTGTTTATGAAACATACATCTAAATGTTAGCTACTTTTATTAAACATACATCCAAATGTAAGCTACTATTAGCTTGATTGAAAGGAAAAAAAGCATAAGAATGGTTGGGATCTGAGAATATTTCTTGACTAATATTTTATACTCTTGTAGGCCTCTGCCAGTTGCGATGGGAGTGTGCTAATATGGAAACTGGAAAATCGTGAAAAAGTGAAAAATTTGCAAATTCTTCCTAAAGTCAGTGACGTTAGGTATTTACATGGATTTTTAATGTACAATCTATTAAAAACACACTGTAGATCTAATTACAAGTTTTTCACTTTTCATTGTATTGTAAATCACTTTGGATTTGAAAGAACTTTATTTTATGCAAGAGGGTTTGCTTGCATGGATTTGATTCTCTTGCTTTTTAATAGTATAGAATATATACAGCAAAAAACCAGCAATTGTGAAAATAATGTCTGGCTTTTTAAATCCTAAAAATACCACTAGGGTCTGCAAATATTTGGTGATCAACAGTATTATAATGTTATAAGGATATGTTTTTTTTAGCTCACCTGAGCTGAAGGCTCAAGTGAGCTTTTCTGATCACATTTTGTCCGTCGTCCGTCCGTCTGTAAACTTTTCACATTTTCGACTTTTTCTCAAGAACCAATGGGCCAATTTTAACCAAACTTGGTACAAAGCATTCTTGGGTGAAGGGGAGTTTAAATTGTTAATATGAAGGGCCAAGTCCCCTTACAAGGGGAGTTAATAAAAAAAAAATGGGGTGGGGTCACTAAAAAATCTTCTTCTCAAGAACCACTGGGCCAGGAAAGCTGAAACTTATGTGGAAGCATCCTTGGGTAGTGTAAATATTAAATTCTTAAAATCATGACCCCGGGGGGTAGGGCGGGGCCACAATAGGGAATCCAAGTTTTACATAGAAATATATAGAAGAAATCTTAAAAAATCTTCTGCTCAAGAACCACTGGGCCAGGAAAGCTGAAACTTATGTGGAAGCATCCTTGGGTAGTGTAAATATTAAATTGTTAAAATCATGACCCCTGGGGTAGGGCGGGGCCACAATCGGAAAACCAAGTTTTACATAGAAATATACAGAACAAGTCTTTAAAAATATTCTTCTCAAGAACCACTGGGCCAGGAAAGCTGAAACTTATGTGGAAGCATCCTTGGGTAGTGTAGATATTAAATTGTTAAATCATGACCCCCGGGGGTAGGGCGGGGCCACAATAGGGAATCCAAGTTTAACATAGAAATATATAGAAGAAATCTTTAAAAATCTTCTTCTCAAGAACCCCTGGGCCAGGAAAGCTGAAATTATGTGGAAGCATCATTGGGTAGTGTAGATATTAAATTTTTAAAATCAATACCCCCGGGGGTAGGGTGGGGCCACAATAGGGAATCCAAGTTTTACTTAGAAATATATAGAAGAAATCTTTAAAAATCTTCTTCTCAAGAACCACTGGGCCAGGAAAGCTGAAACTTATGTGGAAGCATCCTTGGGTAGTGTAAATATTAAATTGTTAAAATCATGACCCCCAAGAGTAGGGCGGGGCCACAATAGGGAATCCAAGTTTTACATAGAAATATATAGAACAAATCTTTAAAAATCTTCTTTTCAAGAACCACTGGGCCAGGAAAGCTGAAACTTATGTGAAAGCATCCTTGGGTAGTGTAAATATTAAATTGTTAAATCATGACCCCCGGGGGTAGGGCGGGGCCACAGTAGAGAATCCAAGTATTACCGAGAAATATATAGAACAAATCTTTAAAAATCTTCTGCTCAAGAACCCCTGGGCCAGGAAAGCTGAAACTTATGTGAAAGCATCCTTGGGTAGTGTAGATTCTAAAGTTTTTAAATAAAAAAGGGAAGGGGGTTGTTGGGCATGATTGGTATAGCAAGAGGGGGAATCTGGTAAAGATCTGCATCACCCAAGTTACTCAGGTGAGCGATGTGGCCCATGGGCCTCTTGTTTCTTTTGATGTACAGCTTGACCAAGGGATGGTGCAGGCTATGCTGGGAGAAGAATGGAAAGGTTAGTCAATATAATTCAGGAAAATGTTTCCTGTAAAAAATGTTTTGATATTCAAATTTTACGTTTCAACAGAACTGGGATACAGAAATTTAATGTGAACTTTAAAAGTTACAAACTTTTTATTCAAGCATACCCTTTCCTCTGTTTCCCTGTATGCATGTTGAAAAGGAGGGATTATATAGTCTGAATTAGGACAGATCTGTTTGTACTCTAGACTTCTTTCCAAGGAAAATTGCATAAACCAAATATGGATTTTGCAATTATTACATAACCAAGCAATTATTAAAATAGAGAGTATTTATCTTGGGCATATTTTTTTGCATATGAGGAAAAATAGATTTGAGCTTGGTATGTATAATTAACACAGGGAATAATTCAAATGACATAACATAAATCTTGCAGAGTTGCATTAAGTATACAAACCTAAAGTAAGAGGTACTTTTACTGTATAAATTTCATTCAAGACTAAGAAAACTTAATTTATTTTTCATATGAAGTTGATTGTAATGCTGTAATTGTAGTTCCTGTATGTTCCAATGGAGAAAGAAATCCACATCTATGACAGAGGTACCTGGACAAAAACAGGATCTTTACAGGACAGTCAATTTTCTGGGGTACGTTGGCGGTCTTATTGAAATTATCACATGATTCTGTGAATTGTTAGCTATATCATGTGTTAGCCAAATTTAAATACAGTTTTTTGTCTAAATTTGACTGAAGAGTTGTCATTTTTTTCTCCAAAGAATAAATTCTTGTATGTGCTAATATAGAATATACATGTAGTTTTCTTGTATGTGCTAATATAGAATATAGTTTTGGTATCAAAATTTGACTAGAGGTTTGTTCTGAGACTTTTCTTTAATCAACTTGATGAATATGTAATTATATATGTATAATCATTTTTTATAGTGTGATTCTGCTAACACTTATTGCAGAGGGTTTTTTTATGTTTTTTTAGTCTCGTTTTCCCCAGACTCTCGCTCTTGAGACTTTGCCCGAGCGAGAGTCTGGTCTGATTCCTATTTAATTTTTGTAATTTCACATCATGGCTTACCGAGAAATCGGTATGGATTTTCATTGGCTGATACATTCTCTTCGATGCTAAGATTTGTATTCTTTAAAAATTCAGAGGCTGCGCCTTTACTTTTATCTGGTTTTATAATAAAATACCTCTGTCTGCTTTACAAGGAACAAAAAACGCACATATCTTTGTTTAAAAAGTAAATTCTCACATGTATTTTCATGGGAGTCGCCATCTTGTTAGCCGGTTTAGCGACCTCTACTGATAACAAAAATTAAATAGGAATCAGACCAGACTCTTGCTCGGGCAAAGTCTCGAGAGCGAGAGTCTGGGGTAAACGAGACTAATGTTTTTTGTTTGTTTTTACAATATATGCCAAATTCAAACTGTAAATTTTTCTCACCCTGGCTTGGGGTGCATATGATTTCAGTACTCATTCAGCTGAAAGTTTTTTGTTTAACTGTAAACCTTGTCAGTCCCCAATGTCCAATATGGAATGTTAAGTAATAAATTGTTCTTACACTGTATTTTCTTTTGTTATATATAAATGTAAATTTCTGTAGGTGTATTCAGTGCTGGATATCTCACCTGAAGGCGATTACCTGGCAGCAGGAAGTTATGATGGACAAATTCTGATTTATAACTTACAAACCAAAACCTGTGTGGACAGGTGAGATAGAAAAAATCCAGCCAATTTATTCTATTAAAACTTCCCATGTTAGCATAATTTTCTATTAAAGTTTACATTTTGAAACACATGTATGAAAGCAGAATTAAAAAAAAATTCTGGAATAAGATATGTATAAATTTCAAGTCTGATTAACCAAGGTAACAACAAATTAACCAAACTTCCTTTGGAAATTGCAGATATTAAAAAGTGAATTGAATATGTAATTAAGTTTTTTTCTTTTAATTGCTTTAATTCTGTGGACCATTAACCTTTGCCTTCAGATTCAAACATGAGAGTGGCCTGTCTATAATGTCTTTGGCTTGGAATCCCAGCAATCAGACAGAAATAGCATTCTGTGATAGAGAGGTAACAGGGGTTTAATTTAGTGTCAAGGACTTGGTTTAATTTCAACTCTTTATTTTCTCGAAACAAGATGAGGGGTACAAATGTGTTCGATGTACAATTGGATAATATACATGTATAATATTTTAACATCTGATTTTTAAAATGGAATTGAATAGGTAGTAAGAAAATTTTAACTTAAATATGTTTACAAAATTACTGCATTCAATACCATTCGTGAAAATCCATTTTTTTTTTCTCTCTTTCAGGGTCAACTTGGACTTCTCAGTGAAATTGAACTGAAAGGAGGAAACCAGGTGCATATAATATACAATGTAGCTTCTTACACATACATAATGTTGCTTACAAAATCATCCTGTTGAATATTAGATTTAGGGAAGTCAGTCATAGTAGAGTAACTTAATGTAGAGCTAGGAATTTTTTCTTTTTAAATTAACAAGCAGTATTTCTACCTCAAAAAGTCAAATGACTGATAATCAGAGCTGGCCTATTTTTTAGCCTGCTGGTGAACTCCGTGTGAAGGAAACAATGGGGATCTTTGAAGATGATGACGACACAGATTTAGTCTTGGCCACGCAGGAGCCGAGTAAAGAAGAGGATTTTAACGAAGACAGCAATGATTCAGCTCCCGTCAGTGCCCTCAAACCTCTAGATGGTAAAATACATAATTTGTTTTCATATTTGTGGAATCAGTGTCATCAAACCCTCTGTTTTCATGCATGTGGAATCAGGGCCCTCAAAATTGTACTTGTAAATGTAAAACCTGTTTATATGTATGTTGAGTTAGCACCCTTAGGCCTTTAGATGGTATGATATACAATCTTTTGACTTGTGTATTGAATCAATGGACTCAAACCTAGAGGGTAAATAGACAATCTGATTATGTGTATGTGGAATTTATGCAAGAGATCCAAGAAAAATACTGGGATTGTAAAAAAAGAAACCCAGCTTTTCATTAATTTGTTGAATTAATATGATTATTAATGCCTGACTGTTTTGTTTTCAAAGATGCTACTAGTACATGGCTTTTTCTCACATTAAAATAAATGAAAAAAAATTGCAAGTTTGAGAAATAAACATGTAATTCGCATTACACATTATTGTATATATATCAATTTTTTTTTTTTTTAACTGTAGATGATTTGATGTCGGAGGATGGTGACGTACAGCCAGTGACACCGGCCCCAGTGGTGATAGAGAGACCAGGCTTTACACCTACACGTCCACAACCTGCCTTCCAGCCCGGATCCACCCCTGTCCATCTCTCCAGCAGATTCATGGTCAGTATTATACAGTACAGCTGGGATATAAGGAAGTCACATGGACTTCAAATTTGCTTCCATATAATCTAGATTCTTATAAGCAACAAAGGGCAGAAGCTTCACAAGAATTCATAAAAGTTTGCTTATAACTGATATTTTCCATCAAGAAAGTTCTTTATAACTGGGTTTTACTATACATGTATATTCTACATTGATTGCTTTAGTTAAATGATGTCGTATTATTCATCCCATACAGTAATCACATTTTTTTCTTGAGAACTTAATTTTCGTGTAATCACGTGAAACTGTGCTCACTCAAATAAAGTTCTTACATATATTTGTATTCATAAATATAGTATGAAGCAGTAATAACAATTTGTGAAAATTTTGTCTTGCTAATAAATAGTTAATATCTAGAAAGGCATCACAAAAATTTGGCTATATCTACTGCATTTAAAATTGATTTACAGATGTGGAATGCAGTGGGGATCATTAAGCAGTTTAATACGGAGGAGGAGGAATCTATAGACATTGAGTTCCATAATACGGCCGTACATCACGCCATGCATCTAACGAACTCGGCAGGGTACACCATGGCTGATGTCTCCACAGAGGCTGTAGTGCTCGCCTGTCCCAGTGATGATTCAGCACCAAGGTTTGTTCCTTTTAAAAGTTAGCAAGTATTTTAAGCATAATGCATTTGCAAAATAAAACTGTTGTTTCTTTGTAACTTCAAAGTATTTTTAAAAAAAATGTTTTGCATTTATTGCCAGTGAAAAGCGTGCTGTGAAATCTTATTTGTCTGTTTTGTCAAAAGGTTTTTGTGCTGTTTATGAGAAACTTTTACGAACATTTTACAGTAAATTGACTTGTATGCACTTTGGATCGTGGGATAATTCTAAAGAGTGGAGCATTCCTATGGATGATGGAGAAGAAATAATGGTTTGTAAAGATATACATATTTTATAGATATTTTTACTAAATGCACAGTCCTTGTGCTGGTATACTAGTTACATGTAAAGACATTTGAAAACTCTGCTGTCCATATCTTAGGGGTATTTAAACAGGTATAATTATTTTGTCAATTTTGCTAAAACTGGAGAACAAGTAGTTCAAAATATCCTGGTGGCAGTATTTTTTGAAAATGCTATGTTTTCCCCTGATATCTTTTTTAAAGTAAGAGAGAGAAAGTTCAGAGGAATAAAAAAGTTTAGAGGAATAAGATATGCAATAAATGCTCAATGTGCAAATTATAATACATTATGTAAGAGACCTTTATTTATCAGTTGTGCATCTGCTGTGATGTTTATATTTAATCCCTTTATGTACCCCTTTGTAATAGGCAGTGACAGTTGGAGAAGACTGGATTGCAGTGGCCACTTCAGAAAGGTCTGTGAGAATCTTCTCACTGGGGGGCCTACAGAGGGACATTTTCTCCATTCCTGGCCCTGTGGTGTGCCTCTCGGCTCACACAAATCAGCTCCTCATTGTATACCACAGAGGAATGGGTAAATCGGAGGATTCTACTTACTTCATTTCAGTGACAATTTTGAATTTTAGTGGCAATTTTGAATGTCAGTGGCATTTTTGAATGTCAAATAAAGGTTAAGAGAAGAATTGAGTATAATGTCACTTTCAATGGAAATTAGGTCTGGAAATACGCATGTATTTAGGATGTTGCAAATTAATATTTCTTGAGAAAAACTAGAATATTTTTTGTATTTAGTAAAAACCATATGGAAAGGAAGATGGCTAAAATTGAATATCGCTAAAAATCAATTATGTTTTCTTTGTAATAGGTTCTTTAGTAAGCATTTTAAAATCGCTTTAATCAAATCTCCTTAAAATAAATTACCAATTTTTAAGGCCAAATTGCTTACTTCTGCTTGTTATCTTCTAGGTTTGCCAGGAGATCAGTGTCTTGGTGTACACCTTATGACAGTGGAGGGTGCTACTCAGATCAATCACCAGCCCCTGCCTCTGTCTGGCAAAAGCACGCTGGCTTGGATGGGGTGAGTCTATTAAAATATGATAAAGAAAGACACTCAATAATAGAGGGGGAAAAAAATCAGGAATATTTAATGCAAGCACACAAAAGTGTGAACTGAATTTCTTTTGTATTGTCCTAACATTTTCAAAAGTTTGCACCAATGAAGAGGAATCAAATAAGATTTTGTCACTATCAACAAATGTTCATTAGGATTTTTAAAATCAAAATCATCTGAACGCATTTAAACTTGGACATAACAACATCAATAAAGAAGGAAACATCACTAAAGAAAGAAAGCATTGTTTCATAGGTTTTCAGCCGAGGGTACTCCTTTTTATATGGATTCCGATGGAATTGTCAGAATGTGTAATAGGAAGTTCGGGATGAGTTGGGTACAAGTAGCCGACACCAAATCACATGTAAGTTGTACAGTAATACAGGGAGAGGATGCAATCAGTTTTCAAAACCTGTACCCAATCCCTTTAATGTTTTTGAATTACTATAAAATATGGTCAGACCAATAATACATACAGTAATTATGATGATCATTTAAAAATACTTTTGTAATCTTGAAAAGATCAGTTCATTTTCAATTTAATGTTAAACTAGTTGCATGAAATACACATACGTGTACATGTGCTCCTAAATTGCAGACCAAAGGGAAGTCAGATAACTACTGGATTGTTAGTGTTCATGAGAACCCCCAGCAACTGAGGTAAAAAAAACTTAAGCAATGGATCTTCATTTTGATTGAAAGATTTGAAATGGGGATACTTTTACAATTGGTTTATACATGTAATTCAACAAAATATAAGTCTGGTCAAAGTTTAAAAGGATATAATTCATCATTACCACATGTATGCGTAAAGCAGCCTATCTCTTATTGATAATTTGGCTGTGTAGGTGTATCCCGTGTAAGGGGTCGCGGTTCCCTCCTGTCCTTCCCCGCCCGGCGGTGGCTATCCTCCCTTTCCAGCTGCCACTCTGTCAGATGAGTACCGAAAAGAGCCAGTATGAGGTAACGCTTTACTTTGTATCTTAAAAATACATTGTATCAGTTTACCTTACATTTACAAATTAAACCATTTGTAGGTGGACTCCTCGACAAATATCCCTCTTATATTTAAACATCTGAAATATTAGTACATATATCCCTGTAATGATGTATAATGGGCATGGCAAAGGCCTCATACTTGCACAATTATTACAAAAGAAAGGTGCATTTTTAATGTTCATTCATTTCTTTGTTTCCTTTGTGTGTGCGTAAAAACTTATTCCAACAAAAATTTCTTCTAAGAAGTAAATGATTTTTGAGCCAGTTATATTTTTTTGCTCATTATTTCAGTTGAAATAACCAACATTCCTGTCATTTGTAGGAAATATTCCACAGAACACAGCTTCTAAGCAACCATTTACAGTTCTGGGATACCATTGGATATGAGTATGACACATCAGTAGCCATGGAACTGGCTAAACCATCTCAGGAAGCCCTAATGAAACTTTTTGCTGTAAGTTTGGTTTATCTGTGCCTTAAGAAGGGTTTAATAAACTGATTCATTGATAAATCTCCAGCGATTTCTTTAAAAGTTTGATTTAGTTACCATTTTTCCATATTCCATCCTGTGTGAATTCTGACTTTATTTTATACCTTAATATGAAGTAAAAAGGTGATGTTGTTATTTTTAAAAAGTAAGTCTATTAATGCCTTAAAAAGAAATCCATATATTCCTTGTACCAGATGAACATGATTGTCTTCGGAACTCTATCATGAACTACATGTATATAAAGATTTCTTGAATCCTCTGGTAATAATCACTTTAAATGATTATTATATTTTTAACACCGAGCAAATGTTGCAGATATTCATGTTCTGAGGTACCTCATAAAGAATTTGGATAATATGAGAAAAATGATACACCTTTCAGTTGTCAGCCAGGTCAGAGCGTGAATTCCGTGCATTAGAGGTGTGCGAAATGATGTCAGAACCTCACACCCTACAACTGGCCATTAAGTATGCTTGTCGCCTCAAGTACATGCAACTGGCAGAACGCATCAGTGAGGTGGTACAGAGGAAGTCAGCCGAACAACAGGAAGTGGAAGAAGAGGAAGTGATGGAAAGAGTTCAAAGGTCAAGGACAAAATTCTAATTTTAAAAAAATTAAAAAAAGAAGAAACAATCAGGGATAAGTATTGACCTGATGAATAACGATTTTACATATAAATTTGACTTTCATAGATTTTCTTTCTTCGTCTTCTATGTTTTTCGTTCAAATTATTATCAAGTTTTTTTTTCACTTGATGAGAGCAGCCAAGCATTAGATTTATCCACTCTATTATTTCATTTTGTCTACCAGTATTTGTTTGTCCTTTGTACATGTTGTTAGTGTTAAATTCACCTGCCAAAATGGCCTTTTATTACATTGAGCAGACATAATGGCATTTATCCAATGATTTTTTAAACACTTTCTGCAACTGCAGATTCAATACAGGGTAGTTCCATCAAAAAATACAAAATTTATTTCCAAATCCAAGTGCAATGAGCATAAAAGTAGTGGTGAATGTTTAAAACATCGAAGGAATCCATGTCATGTTTTATTTTTCATTTCAACTTGAGAAGTTAATAAGCATGAAGAAAATAATGCAGAAACTATACAAAGAAAATTTTTAATCTAGAAATCTTTAAATGTAATTATACATATATATAGAAATGTCTAATTTCTGGATAATTATTTTTTAAAAATTGTAATAATAAGAAATAAATTCATGACTGTAACATGTGTAATGAAAGGGGGGGGGGGGTTGGGGGGGTTGGACTAATATCAGTAAAACATCCATTGAATGGAATTAAACAAAACAATTTCCATTCTGTATCAATCAATTGATTTTGTTTAAAAGAAACAAAATAAATATTAATTTTCACTTTTTATTAGAAAAAATTAATGAACATTTTTGAATATTTTTTGTAATTAAATGATTTTTTTGTAAAAGTCAGATAAATATGAGTAAGTTTAACTTTTCTAGAGCCTATAGTTTTACAAAATAGGACAAAATGCCTATAACTTTTCTGGTAAATATGCCATATGTCCTATAGTTACTTATTTCAATCTGAAACCCTGTTATCGGTATTTGTTTGTCCTTTGTACATGTTGTTATTAATGCATTAGTTATAAAATCAATTTCAAGAACCACGTACAGATGTGTTAAAGTAGATCAGGAAAACACAGCTCAAGAGTGCTAAGATTCTTATATAAAACATAGCGCATTCAGTGACATGCTGGTTTGAAATAATTTTGCATTCCTTTTACTTTGTAATTTTCAAGAGATGAGTTAAAAGCTGCAATCTTAACAAAATGCCACAGACAGGTTTTATAAGGATACAAAATAAGTGTAGTTTTTGAAATACAAAAAATACATACAAAATACATTTACATAATATATAAAATGTAAATGATCTTATATGATGGTCAGTAACTGTAAAATTATCAATCTTTCATTAATTTTAGGACCCATGTTAAATTTGAAACCTCGAGGGAAGACAGAAGTGTTATCGCAATCCTACGGCTCCTCAGGAAGATCAAATCCATTTAAGGTACGTCATCAAAATATCCCTAAAAATGTACAACACAGAAAGTCAGAGATTATAAAAATATCCCAAACACAAGTACAATACAATGGAATGATAAAATTCATTTAAAGTTCGACATCAAAATATCTCTAGTTCGTGTACAACTCAGAAAATCAAATAAGAGAGATTAAAAAAATATTTCAAATGCAAGTACAGCTCTATTGGATGATGCAATTAATTTCAATTAATTTTTAAGAATATGTGAAAACACATATGCAGGGTTTTTAAGGGAGGGATAAACTTGGTATGCAAATTATCCCACCTTTCCAACTATAGCTAAGGTCCCTGGCATACCTAACAAACTGGATAGTGATTCCTTTTCCCACTAACATCAGACAAAAAGACAGCTGCAAGAGATTGTCATACATATGAGGCAATTGACCTTTCACTTGATGAAATTTACATTCAGGTTTAAATATTGAAAAATCAACACAGATATCTTTCGTAGAATTACAACAGAAAAAAACAGTTGGAAATGTAAAAATGTTTTATTTTTGTTTCAGGTTCTTACACCACAGAAACCTGAACCAACTAAGGGCACACAAGTCTTTGACAGCATGTCTAAAAAGAAACAGGCCAGTCCAAGTCAGGTGACCCTGAAAAATACCAGACCAGTTAAAGCCGTCAAAAGGGTAGGTAACTTTTCCCAGTTTGGTTACACACTTATTTGTAATAAGGTTTCTGTGAATTGGGTTAATTTGGATGCTGAAGATCAAAACCTGAATTTATGAAATATGTCTTTTAAATAGGCATTTGGTGAAAAGAAAACTAATTATATAATGGGACTATAGAAATGCTTGCAAAAATATTTTGTTAAGTTGATTAATCCACATATTTTAGAAATAAATTATAATGTAGATGTCAAATACCAGATGGGGTATTGCTAAATATCTTTTATAGAATTTTTTAGTTTTTGTTTTATTTTAGTGAAATGTTTTATTTCAGGTTTATTATTCACAGAATTTGAGAATTTTCAGTTAAATGATGGGCATCTTCTTAAGACAAGTACAGCTTACTCCAATATTCAACTAAATTTTTTGAAATTCCGCTTATTTTGAAATAGAAATAAAAATGAAATTTTTGCCTCTCATATTCTTTGCATTGAATAACGGTTATATTGAAATCGGATATATTGAAATTTCGCTTATATTGAAGCCACCTTGGATCGGTCCCCACAGGTGATAATGAGTTGTTTTCATAACGGTTATTTTGAAAGTTGCACATCCCCGGTTTTCGTCACGGTTGGTATCAGTAATTATGCCTGATTGACCAGTTCATATACAAAGGTGTTAATTCAGTTTTCACCTCATGTATATTTATACTGCATGTTCACATACGAAATGAAATTTTGTTCACTGTTAAATTCTTTGCCAATACTAGTACAGAAATTCTGAAGCTAAACATTAACATTTATTAAATTATGTAACCCCCACTAGAAAAAAACATAACTTTGAAATTAAATGCGTACGATGTACTGTTAATGGCTATTGATATGCCTAAATACGAAATAACTAAGGGATTAACCCTAGTACACTTACGATGAAATACAAGCAGCGTTCAGCAGTGCTCAACCGTTTTAGTCCGGTAATTTTCTCTCCCAAAATGCAAATTGTGATCGGGGAATAATAATGAAGTTGAAGATTGTCTTTTCAATGTAACAGAAAGAAACAATTTTATTTAAACTTTCAAAGACTATTATTCCATGAAATCTGTTCACTGTTATAGATAAACGATGACAAAATTAATTTGTTCGGGTTTGTTCTTTTCTATTTTAGATCGGGATTGAACTTGTAAAAATGGCGGCCTCCCGATTTCGCTTATATTGAAGTAGGCTGTACATACAGTGAAATACCTCATAATACCTAATAATAATTTCATCACAAAAAATAATTTTCTTATCGAAAACAATTAATGTCATTATCTCTTTAATCTATGATAATTTCATTTACAGAATGTATTCAAGAGACAATAATGTATTTCAATGAATTACATGTTCAAATTGAATGAAGAATATATTCAAATCGAAATGAAAAATCCAATTTAAAAAATTGGTATAGAAAGTCCACTTTGCCTTTCCTAATTAGCCAAGACTTATGGAACGTTTTATTACATTTAAAATTCAGAATATAGCTTTAAATTGCCAGAGTTGCATTTAAATCAATTTGTATATAAATTAACAGAACACAGTAAATGCGCAATTAAATAAAATTTTAATTCCAACAAGGTTTAGATTTTAACTGAATATCTCCATACATACATGTCAGTGATTGATAGTTCATGCATTGCTATGAAATTGACATTACTTGTTTGGCGAAGATTTGACTGTTGCTTTCTTTTGTTTCTGCCTAAAAGCAATTCTTCTTGGTTTATGCATAATGAATCCGTTACTTTGTTTTTCAGGGTCATATTTTAGAGGTTTTATCGTCCCCTTAAATGGAGGTTTATTTTTTTTTTTTGTGTAGTACGTCATCAAAAAGTGGTGTAATGAGCCTCCTTAATATAAAAAAAAAAATTGTCACCTGAAATACCTGCATTGCTATTCTTTTTCGTCAGTGTCATGCAATTTCTGTGGACCTTTGATATTAATCTCTAAAAAATACCGAAAATACTGAACCAATTTCAACCAAATTTATTATTTATTCCTATTTAAAGATTGTGGGGAAAAAATGAAATTTTTGGACTTCCATAAGGCCTCTGAATATTACAATCTTCAAGATGATTTTCATGATAGGTAATTTTGAAATTCAAGCTCGGTTTTGTATAATTTCAATTTATCAGACCAAAGGCTTTTGGAAGTTAAACAGAAACTGTCATTGATGCAAATGGCCTGAATTCATGCAACTGTTTACATGAATTCTGACCATGAACATTTTTAAATTGTGAAAACTATCTCTACTAGCTACAATGTTCACAGAACGCGGGATAAGTTTGAAAATGCATAACCATGGTAAATACATGTATTTTAAAGATGTCCTTAATCTTGGACTTTTAACTAGGCAATCTATTTGGATTACAATATGGATCTATGGGTAATTTTCTAAAATAGTAAATTGAGAAGCCAGCACATTTACAAGAAGGACTACCGGTATGTATGAAAAAAAGGATACTTTACTGATCATCAAGCCACTTGGTTTATTTCTTATAGCACCATGGTATATTTCTTATTCTTGCATTTCTAGACTCCTCAAAACCAAGGGAAGATAACTGCTATGAAGCCTTCAAAAGATGAGACAAGCAAAGACGACCAGAAAAAGTAAGACAGCTGACTATAGTGATAAAAACTAATAGTATACAGTAAAACACATTAGTAAAGTGCTAGGAAGAAATAATTTTGTTTTATCATATTGGATGCACACAATTTGATTTAAATTTAAATTAATACAATTTAAATATATTCAAATTAGAATACTTCATAATAAAATTTAAAAATTGGCAGGGATGAAATCCCTTTGCCCTAAGTTGAACTCCTGAAAAGCATGTTCACTGTAACAGCTTTACTGTATGTTTAAAAAAAGAACATAATGATAATTATGCTTTCCATTTCTCTCCTTGATTGCTTTTAATTTTTTTTTATAGACCTAAGAGTGCCTTTGATTTATGGTTTGAGGAAGTGAAGTCCGATCTAACAGAAGAATTTCCAGACGTTGATGAAGATACTCTGGTGCAGTCAGCTGCTGAGAGATTTCGCAAAATTCCCAAAGAAGAAAGACAGGTGTGAAATTTTATTTTTATACATCTCGAATTCGTGGGGACCGTGAGTAAACTTTGAGATATCCAAGGGTTTGAGATATCCAGGGAAAAAATACTGAAAGCAAAATTCTTAAGGCTTGAAATCAGTTTGACATATCCATGGTATATGAGATATCCATTATCGAGATACTGAAGTTCAATTGTATTTGGAAATTTTGAAACTTAAATTCATTGCAAAATCTTCCTTTACAGTTTATAAGCTGATAGGTATAAACCAGTAGAGTTACAGTCTTGTAAAAGACTTCTGATTTCCTATCCTGATAACAGGAAGAATTTTGATAAACTTCTGATTTCAAATTCTTCTGATGAAAAATAAACACTGTGTATGCAATTTCACATATGAATATGCATATATAGGGATGTAGATTACCACAATTTTTTATTCCTTTGGTGTCTTCGTTAGTAACTAAAGCATTTTTTAGTTCCATTTAAAGCTTTATTCTAGTTCCTTTTTAATTAGCAAGGAAGCTTACATAAAACTTAATGACCATTTAAACTAGTGCTAATTGTAACGGGGACCGTTACAGATGTTCCCCAAACGCTCCCCAACTCCCTTTTGGTGCCATATTCCCTGTAGTCTCTATTAGATAAGAAATACTTTATGGAATTTAGACTTAATCAAGGTCTTCCCAGAAAAATACAAAATATATTTAAAAATAGGCATTGCATACGTGTTCATGTGCGTAACGACCATATTATCTTGTCTACATTATCTCAAATTTTAATATACTTAATATCAAAGCATTTAATCCAAAAGTATTAAAAAATACACTCATTCGAATGTATTTTTAATTTTACTCATTTCACGTGCACGCACGTGCAAGCACGTGCATAATGACTACATTGTCTTGTAGGAGTCCCTTATATTTATCTATGTTCTAAATCCAATCCTGTTTGGTTGAAAAACAAGGGAGTTATAGCCATTTGAAGTTTCAGCCAATCAGATTACAGCGCACATACATGCGCGTGATTTCATAAACTTTTATCTTTATCGTATTCAAGGATATCTAAATGAATGACTATATTTTAAAATTCGAAACATTTCGTCAAAAAACAAAGGAGATATAGCCATATAAAGTCTCAGCCAATCAGATTGCAGCACACACGCATGCGCGTGATTTCATGATTTTTTCTTTATCATATTTTAGGATATCCTAATCCATGACTATGTTTCAAATTTCAAAGCATTTCGTCAAAAAACAAAGGAGATATAGCCATTTAAAGTTTCAGCCAATCAGGTTGCAGCACGCGCGCATGCGCAGGCTTTCATGAAAATTTTTATATATCATGCTATAGATCTTCATTATATCGGACTATGTTCAAAATTACAAAAGATTATGACAAGAAACAAGCAAGATATTGAGACTTTAGTTTCAGCCAATCCCAGCGAAGCGCACGTGCATGCGCGTGAGATCTTGCTATTTTGACCATGCCATCTTGTCTATACTACTAATGTATCCTTACATTATAAGTTTCAAAAAAATTCATCAAGAAAAAGAAAAGTTACAGCAATATCCATTATATTGGTCATTTTTCGTGTTGCACGTGCACGCTATTGCAAGCACGTGCGCGCAAATATACCTTCGTTTGGCAAATCTACATAACATGTCTACTGACCCTAAAAACATTTTACCTTAGTCGGATGTGTAGTTTACAAGAACACTCGTGGACAAAATTTTCCCAGGAAGAAGAAAAATAATAATGATAATAATAATAATAATAAGAAACAGAGTAAAAACAATATGTTCCCCAACTTCGTTTGGGGAACATAATTACAGTATAAATGTGGTACAGTGTAGTAATTTATTTTGGCTAAAATAAGTGATGGTAGATTTTTTTTATGATTTTAATTTTAAGTGCAGCTTCTTGACATGAATAAACTAATGAACAATTTGCCCTTTTAGGAGGACTTATATTTATGTTAGGTCCAAAATAGGTAATACAGACCCAACAATATCAACCTTAGTTCTCCTTATTTACCGAAAATAAAAAGAAAATCAATAATGGGAAATTCATTTTGTTAATGTAAGGCCTATCATTTATAAATTCTTAATATACACGTCATTGACAGTTGACTTGTCCTTTCCTCATCAATCATTGGTCACTGAATTATCCATTACTGACCATTAAGATAATGTAATTAAGTAGATTGATAAGTCTGGTTTATGTCACTGTGTTTCAGTAATTTTCTGGGATTCAGCTGGTATATAGTGCTAGCTTGTAAAAAATGTAATTCAATTTATTCCACTCTTGTGAGCATCAGTTTGGGTAAAATTCACAAAAATGAATTGTTAGCACATTTATTATTTCAATGAATATTTAATTTGGTGGATTTTAAAGTCAATAGTGAGATCCAGGAAAATTGGTTTTCAGTAAATAATGAAGAAATTACAGTTTACGTAAATAAATTGTTATGTAATATCCACCTGAATCAGCTCTGCTTTTATATTTTGATGCCCCCCTTCGAAGAAGGGAGGGCATATTACTTTGCTGCTTTCCGTCGGTCTGTCGGTTGGTCGGTCTGTCTGTCGATTCACTTAATTATGTTCCCCAAACGAAGTTGGGGAACATATTGTTTTTACTCTGTTTCTTATTATTATGTCGCCCCGAACGAAGTCGGGGACGACATATTGATATTGTACGCATGTTTTTTTTATCCAGGCTGTTTCTCGGAGATGGCTGGGACAATCTTCCTGAAACTTTCCTCAAAGGACGATCACTGGTTGTAGTTGTGCAGTGAGGTCGTTCAGTTCCAATATGTCTACCGTTGCCATGGAAACCTGTAAAAAGCGACAAATTTTGTCCGAGAGTGTTCTCTCTGGTCCCTTAAACGTTCGTCATGAAACTTGTCTTATTTTAATGATTAGTATCTGTAGTTGTGCAACTCGCATTTAAAATTTTCAAATAATCGATTATTGCCATGGAAACCAGGTGAAAGTTAAAATTCTTTAATTTCGATTTTCTCAATAACTACGCAGGCAATCGTTTTGAAACTTTCAGTGTTTATTCCTTGCAATGTGTCAAAGTGATTTCTACTTTTAAAAAAATTGTAATGAGTCGCTCACAGTTGCCATAGGAACGAAACAGAAAAAAAGATTCAGATGTACACATGTGTTCTCCAAGGTCTAGGTCAAAGGGTCAAAGTTCGTCGTATCCAATAAAAGTTCTTCTCACAAGGATTACATATTTGAAATATAAAAGCCCTAGCACTTACCGTTCAAACGTTATGGCTATGTACTATGTTCAAGACGACCCCCCCCCCCCCCCCTTTTTGAAGCACACAGCCAGGTAGAATACACAGATATAACATATACAACTTACAAGTAGCGTTTTAAAATCTTCATTCATAAAACTCAGTTTCCGTCATGTGATATTTTGTCATCATTCATTCTCCTTCTGTTTTGTCTCTTGAATTTATAAATATTTTATTTTATCTATATAAAAAAAAATAACGATTGTCAGCTGCATTTATTATCATTTCGCGTTTTCTTGTATATTTATTAATTGTATATTATTCATTTCATTAGATAGTGTAAGTATAAATTAAAAAATGGGTACGTCATTTCCATAGTTTTTATTCATTCATAAATCCTTTGATCCGCTCCTGCAGGTTCGCAAAGCCTTGATCACCACTGTATACAAAACATTCATCTCGCCGAAAATGTTCATGATTCCGCTAAACTGAGAAAGTTTACACATGATTTATCATTTCATAACAAACATCAGCCCTCTGCAATGCAGAAATGCTCGAACTGATGGTGGCATGTCAGATTCGTTTTTCGGCAGAACCTCTAAAATGAAAGTGAAAGAGGGAAATTTCAGAGTTCTCACTGGAGTTACAATGCACAAAATAATTTTGCTGATCTTCTTCATAAATTACATTTCCCAAGCTTTTATGAAAGGAAAGATACTGCCAATTAACAAGTATGAGGCTCAGTTCAGTACATTCTTTTATGCAAGTCTGCAAATTTAGGAACTTGTAATTTTCCTGCACTACTTTCTTCTCCTACCGATTCTAAAAATAATTAGTGGGATGTACCCAATTAAGGTCTTCCGTTTCCAATGGAAAGGACTGATACAACTGGATGGTTGTTCAAACTTAGCTAGTGGACTTTGGTTTTAGTGATGATAAAAATGAAAGTCTTGTCCAGTACGGGGCGACATATGCTATTGCTTGCAATAGCAGACTTTCTAGTTATGTCGCCCCGAACGAAGTCGGGGACGACATATTGATATTGTACGCATGTTTTTTTTATCCAGGCTGTTTCTCGGAGATGGCTGGGACAATCTTCCTGAAACTTTCCTCAAAGGACGATCACTGGTTGTAGTTGTGCAGTGAGGTCGTTCAGTTCCAATATGTCTACCGTTGCCATGGAAACCTGTAAAAAGCGACAAATTTTGTCCGAGAGTGTTCTCTCTGGTCCCTTAAACGTTCGTCATGAAACTTTTCTTATTTTAAGGATTAGTATCTGTAGTTCTGCAACTCGTATTTAAAATTTTCATATAATCGATTATTGCCATGGAAACCAGGTGAAAGTGAAAATTCTTTAATTTCGATTTTCTCAATAACTACTCAGGCAATCGTTTTGAAACTTTCAATGTTTATTCCTTGCAATGTGTAAAAGTGATTTCTACTTTCAAAATAATTGTAATGAGTCGCTCACGGTTGCCATAGAAACGAAACAGAAAAAAAGATTCAGATGTACACATGTGTTCTCCAAGGTCTAGGTCAAAGGGTCAAAGTTCGTCGTATCCAATAAAAGTTCTTTTCACAAGGATTATATTTGAAATACGAAAGCCCTATAGTACTTACCGTTCAAACGTTATGGCTATTTACTATGTTCAATACGACCCCCCCCCCCCTTTTTTTTTGAAGCACACAGCCAAGTAGAATACACAGATATAACATATACAACTTACAAGTAACTTTTTAAAATCTTCATTCATAAAATTCAGTTCCCGTCATGTGATATTTTGCCATCATTCATTCTCCTTCTGTTTTGTCTCGTGAATTTATAAATATTTTATTTTATCTATATAAAAAAAAATAACGATTGTCAGCTGCATTTATTATCATTTCGCGTTTTCTTGTATATCTATCACTTGTAAATTATTCATTTCATTAGATAGTGCAAGTATAAATTAAAAAATTGGTACGTCATTTCCATAGTTTTTATTCATTCATAAATTCTTTGATCCGCTCCTGATGGTTCGCAAAGCCTTGATCACCACTGTATACAAAACATTCATCTCGCCGAAAATGTTCATGATTCCGCTAAACTGAGAAAGTTCACACATGATTTATCATCTCATAAAACACATCAGCTCTCTGCAATGCAGAAATGCTCGAATTGAAGGGGAAAATTCAGGAATTATTGATGAGAAAAATTCAGGAGTTATTATGTCGCCCCGAACGAAGTCGGGGACGACATATTGATATTGTACGCATGTTTTTTTTATCCAGGCTGTTTCTCGGAGATGGCTGGGACAATCTTCCTGAAACTTTCCTCAAAGGACGATCACTGGTTGTAGTTGTGCAGTGAGGTCGTTCAGTTCCAATATGTCTACCGTTGCCATGGAAACCTGTAAAAAGCGACAAATTTTGTCCGAGAGTGTTCTCTCTGGTCCCTTAAACGTTCGTCATGAAACTTTTCTTATTTTAAGGATTAGTATCTGTAGTTCTGCAACTCGTATTTAAAATTTTCATATAATCGATTATTGCCATGGAAACCAGGTGAAAGTGAAAATTCTTTAATTTCGATTTTCTCAATAACTACTCAGGCAATCGTTTTGAAACTTTCAATGTTTATTCCTTGCAATGTGTAAAAGTGATTTCTACTTTCAAAATAATTGTAATGAGTCGCTCACGGTTGCCATAGAAACGAAACAGAAAAAAAGATTCAGATGTACACATGTGTTCTCCAAGGTCTAGGTCAAAGGGTCAAAGTTCGTCGTATCCAATAAAAGTTCTTTTCACAAGGATTATATTTGAAATACGAAAGCCCTATAGTACTTACCGTTCAAACGTTATGGCTATTTACTATGTTCAATACGACCCCCCCCCCCTTTTTTTTGAAGCACACAGCCAAGTAGAATACACAGATATAACATATACAACTTACAAGTAACTTTTTAAAATCTTCATTCATAAAATTCAGTTCCCGTCATGTGATATTTTGCCATCATTCATTCTCCTTCTGTTTTGTCTCGTGAATTTATAAATATTTTATTTTATCTATATAAAAAAAAATAACGATTGTCAGCTGCATTTATTATCATTTCGCGTTTTCTTGTATATCTATCACTTGTAAATTATTCATTTCATTAGATAGTGCAAGTATAAATTAAAAAATTGGTACGTCATTTCCATAGTTTTTATTCATTCATAAATTCTTTGATCCGCTCCTGATGGTTCGCAAAGCCTTGATCACCACTGTATACAAAACATTCATCTCGCCGAAAATGTTCATGATTCCGCTAAACTGAGAAAGTTCACACATGATTTATCATCTCATAAAACACATCAGCTCTCTGCAATGCAGAAATGCTCGAATTGATGGTGGCATGTCAGATTCGTTTTTCAGTAGAACCTCTAAAATGAAAGTGAAAGAGGGAAATTTCAGAGTTCCCACTGGCGTTACAATACACAAAATAATTCGGCTGATCTTCTTCATAAATTACATTTCCCAAGCTTTTATGATAGGAAAGATACTGCCAATTAACAAGTATGAGGCTCAGTTCAGTACATCTGCCAGATTTCTTTTATGCAAGTCTGCAAATTGAGGAACTTGTAATTTTCCTGCACTACTTTCTTCTCCTACCGATTCTAAAAATAATGAGTGGGATGTACCGAATTAAGGTCGGAAAGGACTGATATAACTCAAAGGTTTTCAAACTTAGCTTATGGACTTTTGTTTTAGTGATGATAAAAATGAAAGTCTTGTCTAATACGGGGCGACATATGCTATTGCTTGCAATAGCAGACTTTCTAGTTAGGGTCTTCCGCTTCCTTCGGAAGACCCTACTGTTATTCTACTGTTTCTTATTATTATTTTATTTTTTTTTTCCCGCTCGATTTTTGACAGGCGATTTCTCAAAGACCTTTGGACTGATTTTTATGAAACTTTCAGGTTAGATACCTTGTAATTAAACCTATTTACACCTGTTTTCAATTTTTTGATGCATGCCTTTAATTGTGAGTTATTGCCCTTTAATTGATAATTTTGATGTCTCGTTTCCACTAAAAATCTCAAGAACGACGTAAGATATTTACACGAAAGTTGGAGAACTTGTAGCCAATACATTGTAGATGTGCAGAACGATAAAATTATAAGCTGATTTCCTAAAGTTTGGAAGCTATAAAACGGCAAATTTTAGTAATTTTTTTTTCTTGAATTTTTGCTACTTTTTGTGTAATAACTTTTGAACCGAGAATAATTTGGTAAGAAATATATAACAAAAGTTGTGTGTAATTACAAGAGCTTTCATATTAGATTAATGAAAAGGGGCTGGCCCCTATAATTAGGGGGTTAATAGCTCATACACGTTTTTTCTGATAGCTAAAAATATTGGTATATTATGAAAAAGTTTGACTGAAATAATTTCGAACTTATAAAATCTTGTCATTTGATATAAAAAGAAATAAACTTCCAGCTATATTTAATTGTTTTTTATATAAAACAAGTACATGTATGTGAGAAACCTTTCAGGAACAAGTTGTCTACTATAGCCAGCCAAGCCTTTACTGCATATATGTGCACATTTTTAGTTGATGCATCTAAAAGATATAGTTTTGATTCGGTGTTTCTTTGTTTTCTTTTTATTCAAATAATTTTAAAATGTGATGATGTACACAACAATAAATAGTACCTAGTTTAGAGGATTTTTTCGCGCTTGTTTGTAAACAACGCGCGGCATTGTGGGAAATAGGAAGGTACTAAAGACGCGATGTACTAAACACTTATTTGACCTGATTCAAATTTGTCTGTAAATGTTCCAAACAATTGAATTTTTGTATAGCATATGCCTCGAAGTCATAAAGTCTGTACATAAGTAATTTAAAATACTCAATATTACCATTTAATTAAAAATTAAAACGTCAGGTAAATATCAGGTCTCTAGTATATCCCGTTTTTAGTGTGCCCCTTCGAGTCGACGTCGGACACATGTTTGTCATGGTTTACAAACTGAAAATAGAATGATTTGTGAAGTTGAACATTTTCTCACAAAGAATCCGTTTGTAGACATGCACACTCATTTAATCTGGAGCTACGAAGTACTTTGTCACTTCTCTGGAACATTATTCTAAGCAGAATTATCAAGGATGAACACTCTTGACTCTGCTTCGGATTCCCCAGTGATAATTGTATCGAGTGATGAAAGAGCTGACGGCGACATTTTAAAGTATGATTGGCTTGGACCATTGGAATGAAGGTTAGAATATTTTTATTTATACTTAAAATTTACACTACTGATTACATGACAGTGACGTACATTGAATGATGTTATTAGAAATACACAGACACACCGATATATTATCTGTTTTACAGTTCAGACGCTCTCTGTTTGCCTTGTAAATCCCCACAGCTTTATATTTTATTTTTTTTAAATTTGAGGATGTAATTTCAACAGTCCTAATATGTTCTACGGTGCGACCGTTGGGGCGAGCGCAGTTATTTACTATCAAAAACCTTTACACAGCTTTTACTTGCACTGCCTCAGTTCAGTAAAATAAAAAAAAGAAAGAAGTCACTTCCCAGGCATCGGGATCGAGATTCCGAACTTTTCGGAAGTCTCCGACAAAATCTGAAAAACTCGAGCCGTTTAAATGACGAAAGTATGACGTCAAATAAAAAGTCCTGTTGACTTAGAACGCAAACGATAATTTTGTGGCATGGAGATTGCATTAAGTCGTTGTTTGTAATTTTTTTCAAGTAAGTTGTTGCTATGTTTTATCCACCATGTTGCTATGCACCGCAAAGGATTATTGGGAGTTGGAATTTTTTCACGCGGTGAGATAAAAATTTCTTGGAACAATGTGCAGATTTCAACCTGAATTTCCTCCGTTCGTACACGTTAGTCTATTGAGCTCGCTACGCGAGCGGCGCTTCGCGCCGCCTCGCTGCGCTCGCTACTATCTATCATAGTGATCATACTCTATAATTCAAACTGCACTTAATGTTACAGAATATATTCAACTAATTATATATTGACAGTGTGACTGTAAGGGTGAGGGCAGATACTTATTTAGTTTTAATTTAGATTGTGCTTGTCAAGCCGCATTTGACATTTGGTGCATCCATGCTCAATGTTCACACTGAGAGTTTATTCAAATGTTTAATTCGAATGAATTCACTGCTCGTTAAATTACTTCCCATTAGCTCCATGTGAACATGAGTAAGGATAGCTAATTCAAATTAAATAGAAATGAATTTTGAATGTAGCTTAAACATGTTAAAGAAGCTAAGCACTGTGTGTCCAAAGTATACTGCGGAAAAATTGTGTGGAGCAATGTGCAAGTCACAATCTTCTTTTGCCAAGGTGTTATCATAAGAGCTCGCATTATGGGCAGGGATTTGTGCTGCTGTCTGGACTCGCTATAAATAGATGTTCTCAAAAAGTCTTAATTATTTAATATCATACTTTACTGACAAAAAAGGACAAATATCTCAGTTAAATTGCAAAAGAAATTTGTTTAAAAAAATTGAAATAATAGAAAGTTTGCATTTTTGTTTGATAAGACTGCTGTAATGGTTTAATGTTTGTTTATTTGCCTTAATCATACATTTTTCAGTCATTTCATGGTGCCACCACTTGGGATGGTATTAGCTGCAAATATAGACTTGTACTCAGCACTTATTGCCTTTAAGAAGTATGAGATCCATTTTGTGCTAACACCTACCGTGACACAGAATCTTGGTTTATGCAGTCTCATAGGAGTAACCTGTCTAAAGCATTTAGCAATGGGATTGGAACCTGCGACGTAAGGTTCAGCTTCTTATTGATACTTTGATTTATAATATTTATTTGAGAATTTCACTCATTCACATACTTAGAGATGTTGATATATATTGTTGAATAGCATCAATTTAGACCTTTAATTAGCTAAGTAAACATGTACTGTGAGGTTTTTAAGGTCTCATTCATTTTATATGCCAGATGCATGTTAAGGAACATAACTGCATAAATGTTTTTGTCTTAAATTTGAAGCTTTTTACTAATATAGAGATATGTTAGTTTTAAACCTCTTCAAATTAGGGTAGACCTTTACTTTAAACTCAGCAATGTGAGTGTGTTGTGTGAACTTGTGTTAGCGAGACAGTGTGTTGTATGAATTTGTGTTAGCAAGGCAGTGTGTTTTGTGAACTTAATTGTGTTAGCCTGACAGTGGGTTGTGTGAATTCTTGTTAGCTTGACAATGTGTTGCGTAAACTCGTGTTAGCGGGACAGCGTGTTGTGTAAAATCGTGTATAAAGTGTAAGTGTGACAGTGTGTTGTGTAAACTCGTGTTAGCTAGACAGAGTGTTGATTGAACTCGTATTAGCGAGACTTCGTGTTGTGTAAACTGGTGTTAGTGAGACTGCGTGTTGTGTAAACTGGTGTTAGCGAGACTGCGTGTTGTGTGTATTCTTATTAACGAGACAGCATGTTGTGTGAATTCGTGTTAGCGTGACAGTGTGTTGTGTGAACTTGTTATCCTGAAAATTTGTCGTGTGAACTGGTGTTAGAGAGATAGTGTGTTGTGTGAACTCGTGTTAGCAAGATTGCATATTGTGTGAACTCGTGTTAGCCAGACTGCGTGTTATGTGAACTCGTGTTAGCGATATTGCATGTTTTTTGAATTTGTGTTAGCGTGACAGTGTGTTATGTGAACTAGTGTTAGCCTGACAGTGTGTTGTGTGAAATGGTATTAGGATGACAGTGTGTTGTGTGAAATGGTATTAGGATGACAGTGTGTTATCGCAACAGCGTTTGGTGCGAACTTGTGTTAGTGAATAGTGAGACAGCCTGTTTTGAGAATTCGTGTTAGCGTGACAGTGTGTTGTGTGAACTCGTGTTAGCCTGACAGTGTGTTGTGTGAAATGGTATTAGAATGACAGTGTGTTGTGTGAAATGGTATTAGGATGACAGTGTGTTATCGCAACAGCATTTGGTGCGAACTTGTGTTAGTGAATAGTGAGACAACCTGTTTTGTGACTTTGTGTTAGCGTGACAGTGTATTGTGTAAACTCGTGTTAGCGTGACAGTGTATTGTGTAAACGCGTGTTAGTGAGACTGCGTGTTGTGTAAACTCATGTTAGCGTGACAGTGTGTTGTGTGAATTCATCTAAGCGTGACAGTGTGTTGCGTGTACTTGTGTTAGCTAGACAGTGTGTTGTATGAACTGGTATTAGCGAGACTGCGTGTTGTGTAAAACTTGTGTTAGCGAGACAGCGTGTTGTGTGAACTTGTGTTAGCGAGACAGCGTGTTTGTGAATTCGTGTTAGCATGATAGTGTGTTGTCTGAACTCGTGTTAGCCTGATATTTTGTTGTGTGAAATTGTATTAGCGTGACAGTGTGTTGTGTGCTAGTGTGACAGCGTGTGATGCGAACTTGTGTTAGTGCGAAAGTGTTTTTCAGTGTTGTGATGGCGAGCTGTGTGATAGCCTAATGGCGTCTTTTGTGTCGGTAAGATGGCACGCTTTTATGAAAGTGCTATTGAGCTTTAGCAAGTGGCCCTATCTGGACACGCCTTATTATAATTGATCAGTTCTCAGATATACAGTGAATTACCGGTACTATTGTCACCATGAAATCAGCATTTACAGTTGCAATTACCTAGTTAGTAATCATAAGATATTGGTTTGTCAGTTTTAAAATTATGGTGTTCCAATGATGTGAAGTTGCAGTGTGTTAGCATGTTAATTTCAACAGACTGCCACTCCAATGCAGCTTTAAACAACACGCTGCTGTGTTAACACAAAACAAAATATCATGCAAACACAACTTTAAACAATCTGTTGAGAATTAGCTTCACTGCATGTTGGATTCAGTGTGCTGGCATATTATCACTGACGTACATGCTAGCACATTGTCACCTCGTGCTAGTATGTTGTCATAAATACTCTAGCACATTATCCTAAACCCACTAGTGCATGATTACTTTGCACTTGTATGTTGTCTTATTAGGGGATAGCATAAATGACTGCTTTAATTGGTGTAAACTTCTTTTAATTGATGAAAGAGTACATTAAAATTTACAAATTATACACAGAAAATGTGACAATATCTTATCTCTCAATTTGATAATCTAATTTATAATCTCATGAATTGCACTTTTTATTAGTAAAAGAATTAAAGATTAAAAAATTTCAATTTCTTTTGGATAGGTGTGACTCATCTGAAGACTGAATTTTGATACCAAGCATGACCATGATTTGCCAGAAGATCATCTGTTTGGATGTGACATGGAATAAACAGCATAGTGAAAATAAGTCAAGTTTTGGTTTGTGAAGACAATTTTTAAACACACTGTGTATCATTTTTAAATTTTGATTTGACAACATAAATCCACAAATATGAACATATCAATTGCTCTCAGTTTTTCAAGTGAAATAGTTTTTGTAACAGAAATACATGTACCAGTAATTACATTGGAATAAATGTTATTTTTAAATATAATAATATTTTGTTTGTGTAGCATGTTGACCTCTTTATTAAGGTCTTCCCTTTCAAAGTTTAGACTTACTTATTCTAATGATTAAGATAGATCCTCTGTCTTCAGCAGGAATAGAAGATCTTGTAATACATGTATGTGTATTTTTTACAGTATAATGTAAAAAAAATTGTTATTTTGGCACATACAACTATTTAAAGGCATAAACATGTGTATGATTCCAAGGAATTCAGTACATAGGGCATGTACATGTAGTTTTCTAAAACAAGATTGAAGAGATGTCCAGTCGCATTTCAATGTCAACTGCAAAACTGTGCCTGTTGCATATTTATTAGCCCATCTGAGCTAAAGGAACCAGTAAATTTTTTAAAAACATAATTTTATCCATTATCATCATTGTCTAAAATTTCACAATATCATTTTCCAGAACCAAAATGAAACTTGGCACAGAGCATCCTTAGTGTAGGGGATTCAAATTGTTCTTATGCAGGGCAATACCTTCAAAGAGATTTGTTTCTTTAATGCTGTAAATGTATTATATTTAGCTTGTACAATATTTGGTGGAAATTGACTTTTGAATAAGTTAGCGTAGATATTCTTATTTATGTTTATGTACAAGACTTTTAGCTTTGTACTTGATTTAGTGATTGCTGCATTCCGCCAAAGCCGCTAAAAAAGAATACACAGCCATATGTAATATGTTTACAATATACCTTTCAGAGAATTTTACACTCCTATTGAGGTACCACCAGTTGCTAGTGGAAAGCTTCAAATTCGAAACATACACAACACATTTCTGTACGTTTATTATAAAAGTATTGTTCTACTTACTGATTGCAACTAATGAAGATTGTTCATCATTATTGTAAATACATTTGGATTTTTTGAATTATTATATAATTTGTTTATTTTATTTACCTAGTTATATTGTATATTAAATGATTTTAAAGCCATTTTTAAGATGGTAATGTAGCAAAACACTTATGTTTCTGTAGTATGACACGTTTCACAAACATGATATATCCGATATAAAAAGTCATAATATTGGAAGTTAAACTGTTGTGGATACGATTTCAAGAATGCTGTTAGAGAGAGTACCCTTTAGACCTCATGCTCACACCAAATTAAAGAATTCAAGTAAGGGTTTCTGAGACAAATCGAAAAAGAGAATGTTAGCAAAGTTGACAATCTAGACAGAAACATTTAATCTTTTGCTTATCGCTAGGAAGGAAGACCCACTCGTTGCTTTGCAACGAGCTTTGCTCTAGTTATTCTTATTTTTCTTCCTGGGAAAATTTTGTCCGCGAGTGATCTTGTAAACTACACATCCGACTTAGGTAAAACCTTTTTAGGGTTAGTAGGGATGTTATGTAGATTTGCCGAACGAAGGTCATTTTGCGCGCACGTGCTTGCAAGAGCGCGCACGTGCAACACGTGAAATGACCAATATTATGGATATTGCTGTAACTTTTCTTTTTCTTGATGAATTTTTTTGAAACTCATAATGTAAGGATACATTAGTAGTATAGACAAGATGGCATGGTCAAAATAGCAAGATCTCACGCGCATGCACGTGCGCTTTGCTCTGATTGGCTGAAACTAAAGTCTCAATATCTTTCTTGTTTCTTGTCATAATCTTTTGAAATTTTGGACATAGTACTACATTACGAAGATCTACAGCATAGTATATAAAATATTTCATGAACGCATGCGCATGCGCACGTGCTGCAATCTGATTGGCTGAAACTTTATATGGTTATATCTCCTTTGTTTTTTGACGAAATGCTTTGAAATTTAAAACATAGTCATGCATTAAGATATCCTAAAATATGATATAGAAAAAATTCATGAAATCACGCACATGCACGTGTGCTGCAATCTGATTGGCTGAAACTTTATATGGCTATATCTCCTTTGTTTTTTGACGAAATGCTTTGAAATTTAAAACATAGTCATGCATTAAGATATCCTAAAATATGATATAGAAAAATCTCATGAAATCACGCGCCTGCACGTGTGCTGCAATCTGATTGGCTGAAACTTTATATGGCTATATCTCCTTTGTTTTTTGACGAAATGCTTTGAAATTTAAAACATAGTCATGCATTAAGATATCCTAAAATATGATATAGAAAAACTTCATGAAATCACGCGCATGCTTGTGTGCTGCAATCTGATTGGCTGAAACTTTATATGGCTATATCTCCTTTGTTTTTTGACGAAATGCTTTGAAATTTAAAACATAGTCATGCATTAAGATATCCTAAAATATGATATAGAAAAAACTCATGAAATCACGCGCATGCACGTGTGCTGCAATCTGATTGGCTGAAACTTTATATGGCTATATCTCCTTTGTTTTTTGACGAATTGTTTGGAATTTTAAAATATATAGTCATTCATTTAGATATCCTTCAATACGATAAAGATAAAAATTTATGAAATAACGCGCATGCATGTGTGCTGTAATCTGATTGGCTAAAACTTCAAATGGTTATAACTCCCTTGTTTTTCTACCAAACAGGATGGGATTTAGAACATCGATAAATAAAAGGGCCGGCCCGGGACTCCTACAAGAAGATGTAGTCATTATGTACGTGCTTGCACGTGCGTGCACGTTAAATGAGTAAAATTAAAAATACACTCGAATGAGTGAATTTTTTAATACTTTTGGATTAAATGCTTTGATATTAAGTATATTAAAATTTGAGATAGTGTAGACAAGATAATATGGTCGTTATGCACATGAACACGCGTGCAATGCCTATTTTTAAATATATTTTGTATTTTTCTGGGAAGACCTTGATTAAGTCTAGCTTCCATAAAGTATTTCTTATCTAATAGAGATTACAGGGAATATGGAACCAAAAGGGAGTTGGGGAGCGTTTGGGGAACATCTGTAACAGTCCCCGTTACAATTAGCACTAGTTTCCATTCATTTTCTTCACAACCCTTGCACATACCGAAATGAGATGAATATATAGGTCAAGTTCTGTTTTGGATAAGGTCGCGCCATTTTTAACAGAGTTATGCCCCTTGGACTTATTAGCTCTTCTGAGCCAAAGGCTCAAAGAGCTAATGCTATGGCCATTTGTGCGGTGTGCTTTAACTTTTTAGAATATGGGCCATAACTAAAGAACCCTTTGGCCAATCAGTACCAAATTTGCCACAGGGTATCCTTGGCCCAAGGGCTACCATTTATACTAAAATAAGGGTTGGGACCCTAAAACAAGGGGAGATAATCAGGAAAACAAAACCAAAAGTACTAGTTGCTAAAAAATCTTCTTCTCCAGAACCGCCAGGCAGATTTTCACCAAACTTACACACAATGATCAGGATATGTTGAAGATTAAAAATTGTTCAAGGCATGACCCTGGGGCAAAGGGCGTGGTCTCAAGGTCACTTTAAAGTTGACCTAAATTTACAATTAATAAAAATGTTTATATTTTGCTTACTATAAGGACTAGGATTATCAAATCTTGTAAGTTGATGCATCTTAGGACTTCACATCGTGTTAACTCAAAAGTGGGTCACAGTGACCTACTTTTTAAATTTTGCGGGCATTTGTTTTCAAATTGATTTGAAGGCATATTTTGGACACTTTAAGGCCTATGATCATGAAACTTAGTCAGTTGATGCATCTTGGGTCCTTAAACAACGTCAACTTAAAAGTAGGTCACCATGACCTACTTTTTGAACTTTATGACTTAACCTTTTTAAAACATTTAATCCCATTATTTCAGGCACTCAAAGGGTTAGAATCATCAAATCTTGTAAGTTGCTGCATCTTGGGACCTTAAAACATATTTAAGAAAAAGTAGGCCACTGTGACCTACTTTTAGAATATTGCTGGCATATGTTTTCAAATTGTGTAAAAGGCATATTTTGATTACCTTCAGACCTAAAATCATCAAACTTGGTCAGGAGATGCATCTTGGGACTCTGAAAAATGTCGACCAAAATGTAGGTCACGGTGACCTACTTTCGGCATTTTATGGCTATATTTATGTATCTTAGGTATTTATTGGCTTAGAATCATCAAACTTTGTGAGTTGATGCATCTTTGGTTTTCGGAGAGTGACGACCAAAAATTAGGTCACAGTGACCTACTTTCGACATTTTTTTGGCTATATTTAAATATCTCCGGTACTTATTGGCTTAGAATCATCGAACTTTGTGAGTTGATGCATCTTGGGTTTTCGAAGAGTGACGACCAAAAATTAGGTCACGATGACCTACTTTTGACATTTTATGGCTATATTTAAGTATCTTCGGTACTTATTGGCTTAGAATCATCAAACTTTGTGAGTTGATGCATCTTGGGTTTTCGGAGAGTGACGACCAAAAATTAGGTCACGGTGACCTACTTTTGACATTTTATGGCTACATTTAAGTATCTGCGGTATTTATTGGCTAAGAAACATCAAACTTTGTCAGTTGATGCATCTTGGGTTTTCGGAGAGTGACGACCAAAAATTAGGTCACGGTGACCTTCTTTTGATATTTTATGGCTATATTTAAGTATCTCCGGTACTTATTGGCTTATAATCATCAAATTTTGTCAGTTGATGCATTTTGGGTTTTCGGAGAATGTCGACCAAAAAGTAGGTCAAGATGACCTACTTTTGAATATCTCAGATATTTATTGGCTTAGAATCATCAAACTCAGTCAGCAGATGCATCTTTGGACTCTGAAAAATGTCGACTAAAATGTAGGTCATGGTGACCTACTTTCGACATTTTTTGGCTATATTTAACTATCTCTGGTACTTACTGGCTTAGAATCATCAAACTTTGTCAGTTGATGCATCTTGGGTTTTCGAAGAATGTCAACCAAAAATTAGGTCACGGTGACCTACTTTCAACATTTTATGGCTATTTTTTAAGTATCTTAGGTATTTATTGGCTTAGAATAATCAAACTGTGTCAGTTGATGCATTTTGGGTTTTCCAAGAATGTAGACCAAGAAGTAGTCCTAATTGGCTAAGAATCATCAAACTTTGTCAGGTGATGCAACTTTGGTCTTAGGATACTTAGGGTTAGAGGCTTCAAATACAAGTGATAGGTTGTACAATTTATCAGAAGAGCGATTCAAGGCCCTTGGGCCTCTTGTAAAAATTCCAATTATTTGCAGTTTCCGTTCATTTTCATTGCAGAGGTTGCACTTAATGAAATGAAATTTAGTATAGAGATATATAAGATGAATATCTAGGTCAAGTTCTGGTTTTAGTTACGATCGCGCAATTTTATACAGAGTTATGTCCTTTTAGACTTTGAAAAATTCCAGTTGGGGGGGGGGGTGCATAAGTGTTTTACAAACATCTCTTGTGACATGTATGTGGGGAGAGAGGACCCACACTGAAAACTCATAATTGAACTTTTGTATCTTGAATATTGAGTTACCAATATCTTGAATACGCTCGATTTGTCAAATTTAGATTTAAATCCCAACCCTCTATTCTATATAAAGTGTCTTTTGCCTAGATATCACATATCCTGGGATATTTCTCAATGTTTTTTTTTTTTATTGCTTCCCTTGAGTTTGAGATAAGTGAGCTTGACATATAAAATCATGCAAACAACTATTGTGGCATCTTTCCTCATATCTCTCTGGACATAACCTGAAATACCCAACCTTTAAACCTCTGTAGATTTAATTTTCACCAGAAGATTAAATTTTGTTTGTTTATTGCAGTGTTTAAGAATCTTATTCACACCTAAAAAAAAAAATATGCTGAAAAAATTCATAGAAAAATCAAATGGCTGGCACATATGCAAGGTTGTAGGGCTAATTTTAAACAACTCAAACAAGCCAAAGGAGAAAACATGAAAATGTCATTTAACACAGGAAGTTTAACTAATGTTTGCGGTAAATGCACTGCATTGTTTTTTGAGACAAAGTGAAAGGTACTTTAATTGTATATTTTTGCAAAAATGACGGTGCAAGCACTTATCTGTAACCTCTATAGCAGTATTTTTGAGTGAAAAAAAAGATGAGCAAGCTAGTGTATATTGAATCTTACTCAGATAGGAAATTTTCAAGGACTTTGCCCAAGATTAATATTGAAAGTCTGGCACAGATGGAAGACACAAACAGGAAGGATTACTTGAACTTTAAATTAATGGATTTCAATGAATGAGTCAAGCTAGGTATTTCTAGGGTTTTTAGCTCACCTCAATGAAGATGGAGAGAGGGGGGGGGGGGGGGGGGGCTTATGGATTCCCTAGGCGTCAGCGTCAAAGGTGAAGGTTTTTGGAGCCTTTTCTTTTATAATAAGCC